TGAGACCTTCCTGAGGAACTGCTCCCCCTACCCTTGAAAAAGGGGCTTGGGGCTGGGCTGAGTAGGGAAGTGATTCGGGTTCCTGTTTCTCAGGGGCTCACAGTGTCAGAATGTGGCAGGACCTGCATGCAAGGTATGTTGGGAATACAAGCAGAGGAAAAAAGGGCTCAAGGAGGAGTTCGCTCCCTCAAAGGGCGCTCCTATGGGACAGCGACTCCTAACCCCCAGCTCAGTGCCTTTTCAGGTGCCCAGATAGGGTGTGTGGATAGATGGCTGAGTAGGAGTCACAGGGAAACAGCCCATCCCATTTCCTGGGCTGTCTGGGCAAGAGAGGAGTTCCCTGACATATGCAGTGTGAGAAATGAGGGGAGGTGTGGGTGGGAATCACAGAGAGACAGGATAGTATGTGTTTTCATTTGAGTGTTGTCACACAGGGGCATCCTACAATGGGTGTGGGGCTGAAGTGGATGGGGTGGCATCCAAGGCTTCCTTCTGACTTGGGAGGCTGTACCTCTGACCCACTCCTTTCCTAGGGCCAACCTTGGCTGGGCCCAAGCTCTGAGCAGGAGAGGAAGGGGTTCAGTAACTCACTGTGCATAGGGGAGAGGAGAATGCCACCTGTTCTGCCTCCCAGCCAAGGGGAGAAGACCCTTAGGTCACACTTCCTGGGTCATGGGGCAGCCCCACCCAGCCACACCTTCCATCCAGTTGGCCAGCATCAGCTATGCCAGCCTTGGAACTGAGCACTTGGGCCCTGTGTCACCTTCATCTAGGAAGCTTTGGTCAATTCAGACCCCCACCAATGCCAGGGATTGACAGAGCGGATGGGTCAAGTAGAAAGAAGATGTCAACAAGGGCTAACAAAGTAGGGGGCCCTACCATACTGTGTATTGCTAGTGGCTTTCATCACCATAGTTCTTTGAAGTAATAAATAATTCTCATTTAAGATTCTAAAATCAGTAGGTGAAGATTGGTATTGGAAAATTTGCCAAGCTTTGTGGTCAGAATTTCTTGAATGACAAGACAGATTTCCATGTAATTTTGAGCTTGTGACCAATTGCACAAGTTTGATGATTTTGGTGGAGTCAAATTGCGAAAGAATTGTGACCAGAATAACATGCATATGCACCATTTCAGGACTGCCTCCAGAGTTGCACAACTGGAGAAGTACTAAAGCTTTTGAAATGATTTTGAACAGGCTTCTTCACCATATCTTTGCATGAACAGGCATGTGGTCATGTGTCTCAGCATGTGTATTACTGCCTCTTTAGCTTTTGGTCAGTGCAATGTTCTGGGCTAGGGTGAGATTCTTTGGTCACTGAAGTCTGGCTTTCATAGTCACCCAAGAAGAGGTAACACAACTCTGGGGAGGAGCTGAGACATCTCAGCCAGGGCCTACATGAGAAACGATGCCCAAGACCTGCTTCACTCTTTGAGTAGCTCAGGCTGGAGCATGGCCATTGGCAAATAATGACTCTACTTTGGGCATAGCTGGGAATTCCCGCATGTAAACCATTCCAGAAGGTAATGGGTTTATCAGGATTTTAAAGGTATAGATAGCCCTCTGTCTCAGCAATCCCACTGCTAGGAATTTAGCCAACAGAGAGCGCTGCATAACTATGAATAAAACAGCACAGATGCCTGTCCCCAAGTTGTTTATGCTGGTAAAAAGAATAAAAACCAAGAGGGGTGCTCAGTTAAAAAAAAAATGGGCCTATCCACATGAAGGACCCTATTAACTTGTGTAGAGCAATCATAGCCTTATCACCTTAGACAAGGCCTGATGAACAAGCACAAAGTTCAGCCACTCTTGAGCATCAAGGCCCTTGGTACCCCAAAACTATACTATCACCACTAGCTACTTAGCCTTCATAATTGTCACTATGCCCCTGGGCCACGGTGGTGACAATGATCCTGAGAAAAAACAGCAGAAAGCGTGACAGAGGCCACAGCCATCCTCACCTGTCTGTGGGTTGCTCTCAGTAGAGGACTAGGAGCACATTACCTGCTTCTGACCTGGTCTTCTAGTCCCAGCTTTGACCTGTGATCCCTGTAAGAACTCTGACAAAGTTTTCAACATTTTCACTACATATTTGTGTGCGTAATATGAACAATGCCCTGCAGCTGCTTTTGTCTGATCACTCTGTTAAGCCACAGAACCAAACTGACTCATAATCACCGTAAAAATAAGGGGGGCGGCTACCCCTGGGTTATTACATTTACTCTTCCAAGGACCTGGGTAAGAGTCTTGCTACCACCATCTGTCCTCAGTCAAAGAGAGAGGTCAAGTGCCTCAAAAGGTCAAGTGCCTACTCCATTTCAAGTTGGAGGCAGGGACATACCCTACCACAGGCCCAACTTACATAGTCAGGCCACATGAGCCAGAGTCATGCTCAGCATGTGCAGAGGGTACAAAGCACCAGGCATGCACACCAGGGCTGCGGAGAGTGAGAAGGTAGTACAGGCTCAGCCACTTTCCTGCAGCCTCACAAAGCCTTCCCAATGGCGTAACCACACCTATTGCCCCCAGCTGCTGAGCCTGACTGGAAGCTGGCACTCTGTAATGTTGGCTGGCTACACACCTACAGGGGATGGACCTGCACATGGCCTGCAGCTCCCATACCTGTGCAGTCTGCAATATAGGCAATGAACTTGTCCATCTTTGCCAGGTGGTAGTCATTGGGTATATAAGTCAAAATTCACTGTCAGTACATTTCACTATGTGTATGCTATAGTTCAATTTTTGGAAAAATTTATAGAGAAGGCATTTTCTTCAAAAGCCAAGTTTTCTTTCCTATGGGTGGTATACAATAAACAAATGAACCAGAAATTCTCTTCTTTTGAAGTAGGTTATCATTTGCTGTTACAGAAATGACTCTTGGGTTGTCCCAGCAGTGCCCACTTGCCCCAAAACCTCTTGATGCAGCCACTGACGAGGGGTGGAGGGGACATGGGACAGGACAGAGGCTAGTCAGGACACATCTCAGACTATGAAGAAAGTCTAACTCTGACACCACACCAAAGGCCAGGATTTTGTTCCCAGCTCTGGGTTTCCTGTTGGCAACATGGGTGTCTCTGACGTCCGCCATGGTTTGGAAGTGAGTCTGCTCTCCCTCCTCCTCTCTGCTGCCCCAACAGCACCCCTTGGCCCCATGGGACTGTGTACCCTACAGGTCAGGCACCTGCCCTCTGTACACAGTCCCTGGTGGTCTACCCCCCCTTTCTAAGGCAGTCTCCACCAAAAGCAGAATGCAAGGTGGGAAAACCTAGCATCCAAACAACCTGGAGCGTTTGGGTTTCCCTGCCATTTCTTTCCCTCACAGGCATGGCTATGGGTTAAATTTGAGCAGGTGGCACACATATGAGGGGTGTTGAGGGGGCAGGTGCAATAGTGAGGTCACTGCTGGGGGGCAGATGCAGAGGGGGTGATAATCTATTCTCCCAAGGCCCCTCTAAGAATCAATCACCTGATGAATGGATGGGGATGTAGGAGCATCCCAGATTGCCCCTGAAAAAGAAGGGTTCCCCTACAGACATAAGTCCCCCTGTACTCATGGGCTGTACCATGGTTTCCATCCTCCCAGTGAAATTGGGGACATGGGGAACATCGACCTCCAGTGGGTACTGCTATATCAGAGCTGAAACCCAAGGAAGGCAGACAAAGACCCTGATGCTTTGGCTCCTATGCAGTAATGATGCAACACCAGAAAGAGGGCTTGCTCTTCCCTCTCTATGGGGTACTGAAGGTCCTTTTGGGGCTGGACAGAGTGAGGGGCTCAGAGGCCACAAGAAAATTAGCAACTTAGAGGCCACAGGTTACCAAAATTTCACTTGGCAGGGTCTGTTCATAGAGTTGCAACCACGTTTGTCTATTTACAGTCAGCATTGCAGGGAGCTCAGGGCTCCCAGAGTCAGGCGAGCAGCAGACACTCAATAAGTGCATGTTACGTGACTAGTATATGAAAATACGTTGCTCACTTCAGAAGAGAAGCAAGACATGGAAACTGAGGCACAGATGGGTGATAACTTATCTATAAAAGGCAGAGCTTGCAATGAAGAATCTGCCACTCTCAACAACCCTTGGACACCCATCTGGATGAGGTGCCATCATTTCTGCCTGGGGCCCTCTGCTACCATGAACCACCTCTGCACAATACTTCACAGTCTGAGCCCCACATCACACTGGGTGACCTCAAAATGAAGGGGAGCCCAGAACCAGTAGTGTCTTCTTGGGCCTCACCCAAGTAACTTCATACACAGGTGACAAAACAACTCCTTCAAGTTGAGACAGGGGTCAGAGGAGGAGAGCACAACTCTTGACTATGAAAGGCAGAACTTTTTGAACCAGGAAGTTCAAGCCTGAATCTGCCCACACTTTTAGATCCACCTACAAATTCAGAGGAAATTGAAAGGTCAGAGGAACATGTGAAAGGACACCCAAGGACACCATCAACAGTATATAGGTGAGGGGGATTCCAGATACTTCGTCAGTAACAAATCAAGTGAAAAAGGCAGTGAGAGGTGGGGGAAATCTGTCGATCATGAGAGAATAACATGTGGGTCTTATTTAGATCCCGGGAATTTGACTGGATATGTAAGGGTTTTATGAAATCACTTTTCGTCAGATGTGATAACAGTTAAGTTTTTTTAAGTGGTTCTTTCAGAAGAACATTCTGAAAAATTGACAGAAAAGCATGAAACTTAGGATTTGGTTAAAAGATAACCTGGTGTGGGGGGTGCAGATAAAACAGCCAGACACTGCCGGAGTTGTGTGGTGAGAATAAGGGTTTTGTTGTTCTTTGTCTTAAATCTCTAACATCCCTACTAAAAGAAAGAGTTGGGGCGAACTGAGTTTGGAGTTGTCCCAGGTAGAGAGGCAGGTCTTGTCTGAGGGATTTCAAAGCATTCCACAGAAGTGCAATGTGTTCTGCAAATGCTTATTGCCATCTTTCAAGTATACTTTTAACCAGTTTTTCAAATCTCAATTAAAACTTACCCACCTCACACACTGATGTGACAGGATTCAGCGTAATTTGTGACCAGGACTAGCCCACACTGCTCGTGATTGTCTGTGAATGATAAGATCAGAATCGAAAGTCAGAATTGAGAAACTTTTACAGCAACTTGACACAGCAACTTTTTGTCTGTTGAGATAAACCCTCATGAGATAAGAGTTTAAATTATATGTATCTTCCTCTTCATTATCTCAATTTTCATCTTTTTTTCCATTGGCCTACAAGAGATTAAAAAAAAAAAGACCCTTCACCACAGAGTATCTGAGGAGCATGGTTATATAATGAACATGAATCCCTGAGAGACCTAAGCCCACCTGCTGGAGTGGTCTGCCAGAGACCCCAGGTCAAAGCTTCCCTATCCACTATCTGGGCAGCAACTCCAGCACTTTCTGTAAACACATTGACTGAGAGTAGCTATACTGCAAAGCTGACTCTAGTCCATGTTCACTCAAGCCCTACAGAGGCCAGCCAGCAAGGCCCAGGAAGAGGTGTTGAACACCTGCCCTGTTAAGGGAACATCATCAGCTCTGAGGCGACCAGGCTACCAGATTACACCCCACAGTGCTTGCGGGGAAGGGGGGTGGGTAGTATGCATGTTTCCTTTAAGCCACCTCTCAGTGGTAAGATAGCATTATAATTAGCCAGCCTTTCCAACTTCTGGATTCCTTTCACTGCAGCAGGTCTTAAGACAACAAGGTGAACAGCTTAAAAAACTCCCATGACTTCCTGTATCAGCTGCAAATGACTATCACTAAAGACAGAAACCAGCACCCAGGGAGTTTCAGGAGTGTGTTTACATACATAACTCTGTTATATGATATGCAAAAAATAAAGCATAAATATGAATGTATAAGGCAAGTCACAGTGACATGCAACATTGCCTGTTTCTGTTTCATATATTGGGGTTCCAGGTTCAAGATTCACTACTTTAAAAAAGAAGTAAAAGGAGGTAGTGGTCAGGTCCCTCGGTGGCAGCCCCGACCCTGTCCCTGCTCACAAATCAACAACTCTGGCAGATGGGTACAGAGTTGCCCATTTTATAGGTTTGTTCACTGGGCAGAAGCAAATAGGAGCTGAAAACACACTTCGAGGAATTAAAAGTGGAAAGCCAAGAGCGTGTAATTTTATCAAGTTCAAAGCATGATGCGGGTTCCATCCTCACATCACCTCACTCATCCTGTCACCTCCTTTAAGTGTGGCTAGTGAAGCTACAACTATGACGAATATTAGAGTTACTGATAACAGATTATCTAAAGTATATCAATGAAAAGTAGATCACCACCCTACTATCTGTGCCCAGCACAGTGTATACTGCTCTACCCCGTGAGCTCTCCAGTAACCCTCCCCACAGCCCTGAGGCCAACACCATCACCCCCTGTACAGGTGAGCTTTCAGAGAACACAGTCCCTGCCTCTTGGCATTCTAGACTTTGAGGCCCCAAGGTGACAACACATGGAATCAATACAAGTACACACAGGTTGTGCTTCATGGTTTTATTCTAGGAACTGGCAGAAGCACTAGCAACATGGAGTTAATGCTATAGCCACATCTATGGACTTTCCTGGGCCAGCCTCTCCTCATTGGAGCAGAAAAATGCCTACAGTTTTGTGGCGCTACTGGGAACAGTATGGTATAAGCCCTCTGAATGGGGCTTTAGGGTCCCTAGCTCAAAGCAGGCATTACGATGGACTCTGTGAAGCTCAACCAGTTGGAGCAGAATGTGGAGGGGAAGGAGAGGGTGGAGTACAGAGGGCAGGGGTGCTCCCAATGGCCCCCTCTCCCAGCTAGGGCAGGCCGCAGTGCCCTGGGAAGCAGCCAGAAACAAAACGGCTTTTGCTCTTCATGAGACAATGAGTCCACTGTTGACTGGCTGGGGCCTTGATTAATATTTGCAAAAGGAATGAAGTGGAAAATTCCACCTGTGTGGGTGGAGACTGGGCCTGGGACATGTCAACAACCCCAGTGGCCTTGTTCTTTCAGGGATGGATCAGTGGAGAAACAAAGGTCTGACTGATAAAAGTGATAGAACCTGAGGGTGTTATTGAACTTGGGTACAAAGGAATTTCCTTATTTGGCTCATAGATATCTATTTGCTTTTTTATTGTCCTGCGTCCCTGCCTCTAAATTTGCACAGCACCTTTAAATCCTTCAACTTTCTTCAGTCTCCCAAAACAGCCTTTAGACAAGGAAGCCGTGCCAGGATAATAGGACTGATGTCAGCTCCATATTATGGACAGAGAAACTTGAGACCCCCAAGAGACCAAGAGCCTCACCCAAGGCCAGCAGCTGGCAAATGAGTCAGGTAATCTGGAACCCTGGCACCTCAGCCCCCACTAGTAACACAGAGCTTATTCCAGGGGCTTGAGGTCAGGGAACATGAGTACAGGCCTTCCAAGCTCCAGTACCTGAGGAGGAAGAGAGGAAGCCCCAACCAGCTTTCCTGGATGGGCAGGCTTGGGGCCAGGCTTGGAGAAAGGTATGCATTCATGCATTCATTCATTCGTTCAAGCATTCAATTAGTGCTTGCTGAACATCGGTACGCCTTGTGGCGGCTCCTTTGGGAACCCAGACCTGGCACAATCAGTGACTGAAGGGGGAAGGTGAGAGCATCTCCAAAGGTCGCTTCCCTCACAGACTAATCTCACCACATTTATCACTGCCATTATCCCATCTCTTCCCTCCAGTTTTATAGAAAAGAAGACCCTGCCTCCAGTTTATAAAGCCACACGATCACTGGGCTTAGGCACTCGAACATACGGTGTCCCTTCTAGCAGGCAACCTTGGAGTCTGCATACCTACCTCCTCAACAAGCAGGGAGGGACACTTTTGGGAGACCCCTCCCCCAGACAAATAGCCCCAGAAGACAGACAGGTGCATCTTGTCCACCCACAGAGCACACCAGCTGTGGCTAATCTCTCAGCTCCCATCCTCTGTAGTGCTGTCTACAGAGCTGACTGGGGCATTATGCCCAACCCTGAAACCCCAGGGAACCAGGGCCAAGGCAGAGTCCTCTCTGCGCCCACACCCCCAACTGTGAACCCAGGGGAGGGGGAACTCATTCAGCCCAAGTCCCAACTCAACACCCAGCACCCCCTGCCCAGGTTCCCTCTTCCACTCCTCCTAGCCACATGCTCACATGTGGTGCCCTCCACATCACTCTCACTTCACCCTTCCTCTTTTTTTTTTTTAAGCTTTATTTATTTATAGAAGAGCTGGGGGACAGGCCAGAGGCGCAGGAGAGTGAGAGGATTCACCAAAGACAGTGGAGAGCAGAACAGGCAGATGACCGAAAGCACTGCTGAGAGTACCAGCGGGTGAGACAGGAGAGGTCTGCGGCGCCCTGTGGGTATCTCCCTGGCAGGTTGGGACTCAAACCTGCGCTGCAGAGGCTGCAGACAGCGTCACAGCGCTGAGCTCAACCCACTGCGCCACTGGGGAAGCCCCAACCTTCCTCTCTTCCACCTTTCCTAGAGAGAGCACCTCCTCAGACCTTCTTAAAACAAAACCACCTCCACTCCCATCTCTGAACCTACTTCCTCCCATGCCCATCTTGCCTCCACTTGTCAAGGCCACCCCAATTGCTATGCGCTTAAACCAGGGACCTGCCCCACTTAACCCCTGGCACTGCTCCCTCATTCCTCAGTTTTTCTGATGTAGTCTCTCCCAGCCCTCACATCCCCAAAACTCTCCTCCCCTAGGTCCAATCCTCTTTCCCTCTCCATGCCCCCTAAAGATGTCTGACTCATAAGTCCTATCTCCAGGCCTAACCTCTGCATTTCTGATTGTTCCAGTGCCCTCACATGTCATAGTTCCAAGCTCCCACACAGGGTCTGTTTGGTGCACAGCTAATAAGCCAGGAAGCTACCCCATGGGGCCAGCAGGCCCATGGCAGGGATTCAGCCATTGATAGAGTGAATAAAATGCATCATGTTCAGCAACTGCCTCTTTTTTGGTCTTGGATGGGCTGGCCCCCACTGCCCTTTTCTGTCACACAAATGCCCTGTCTAAATCTGAAAGCTGGCTACTACCTAAACTCATTGCTTGGCACCATGGGACAAAGTCCATGATCCTGAGCTGGCAGACCAGGCTGTTTCCATCTGCACTTCTGCTGGGGGTGGGGGCGGCACATGCGTCCTTGATCATGCTCTCACTGCACTCATCCTCAGTCCAAGAGCACCCATCAGCCACCGCCCGTGTGTGGTTCACCTTTGTACCCAAGAAGTGGCACCCTGTGGATGTTTGTTGAAAAGAAAGACAACTATTAGAGTCAAATTATTTCGCTGGTCACAGGGCTAAAAGCAATTCAGAGCTGCTGAGAAGGGGCCTGGCCCACAGCAGGGGTGAATTAATTTCAGCTGAGCAGCAGTCCTTGATGAGAAACCAGACCAAGCCTCTGAAAATATCACCTGCAACCCCTTATGTACGCATGCCAGAGCCCCCAGCTGACCTTGGGGCTGGGCGGTGCTCCATGCAGGCCCAAATCTGACCCTGCAAGTGGGGCAGGCCTGACACAGAAGGATCTCAGAAGAAACAGTCACTTGAAGAAGTACAACGTCTCACCAGCTGACAACTCCATTTATAAGCCCCTCATCGCTCTCATGGCCTTGGTCTTCTCTTCCTTAGAATGGAGCTAACTTGGCCTAGGAGTTTAAGTGGCCAGCTCACCCCAACTTTTTTCTTTGCAAACACAAAGTGTTTGCAGAGTTCCAAACTCTGTACTCCACTGCCCAACTAATTTTTATTAACCTTCCCCAAAACCACTGTGTCTCAACAAATGGCCCCAGAGAGGGCTTATTAAATGCAGATCCCAGACCTTCTCCTTGACATGAGGGGTCTGGTCCTAATCTCCCACGGTAAACTCAGAATTTGCCTCTCAGGCATCTCTGAAAAGTCCTGCACCCAGTGAAACTTAAGAACCTCAGCTCCAAACTTACACACTGAAGGCTTTCACTGGGCCTCAAGTGTTAGTTAAACCTCATTTTACAGAAATACGCATTTGCCAGGGAAACCTGGTGGATGGCGGAGATTTCCACTCTTCTAACAACACATACTTTTTGCGAAAAACTCTCCCAAGAGCTCAGGGAGACTTCTGCAGCTCGCGTCCCACCCCTTTTGTTTCCGGGGCTTCGGCGGTTAGCACAAAGTGGGGCCCCAGTCTCGGCGTCCAGCCGGGGTCCTCCCGAGCCAGCCCGAAGCTGCCTGGAGCTCTGGAGCTGCGAGCAGGTCCCTGCAGGACCATTATGGGACGGCTCGACCCACGCTCGGAGTGCGTACCCCGCTACTCACCGTCGGTCGTTCCGCCAACGAGCCGGACAGTCGGCTGCGGTGGATGAGGAGCTGGGGCGGAGCGGCGCGGGGCGGAGCGGGAGCTGGAGGAGCGGGCGGCAGCGGCGGCCTGAGCCCTACCCGCTACACTTAACTGCCCGCGCCCGCGCACCGCGCGCTCTCCGCGGCCGAGAAGGGAACCGGAACCGCGGGCGGCTCGGACCCGGTCTTCGCTAGAGAAGGGCGGAGACCCGGCAGCTAGGCCGGCGGGTCGGGCTCGGGCGGGGCGCGTGCAGCCCGAGGGCGTGAGGGCACCGGAGCACCAGGCTCACGGCGCGCACCTGGGCGCGGGGTCCGCGCGCGCACTCTGCGGCCTCTGTTGCTCTGCCCGCCGAGGATCTCGGGCTGCTCAACCCAGCCCATTTCTCGGAGCCCCTGCAGAGTACGGTGCTTCCACGTTCCCCACCGTGGGAGAGGGTGAAGAGGCCCACCCCTTGCCCCGGCCGCCGGGTCTGGGCGGCGCAGCGGGAGGCGGAGCCCCGAGGGATGGCTCCTTGGTGTGGGGATAAAAGCGTGGCCAGAGGCTGACGAGAGCCCCTGTTGGCGGGCTCTGGCCCCGCGATGTCGCTCGTGCTGCTGAGCCTCGCAACACTGTGCTGGGGCGCCGTGTCCCCGGAGCCGGTAAGCCCCTGCCTGAGGCCCTTTCCCCAGTTGTGGTCTCTAGATCCCGAAACCTGAGGACTTCAGATCCCCCAGCTCACGCTTCTAGGAGGCTTTCGTGGAGGGCCTTCTGTGGCCGGGTGTGGGGGCAACTCTGCACCCTCTGGGACGGCCCAGTGGCTGGTCCCGACCTGGCTGGCAACGGGCATCAGGCTGTTTGAGTCAGGGACCTGGGAATTAGGTAGACTTGGGCTCAGATGCCACTGTGCGCTCGATTCACTTACGTTCACTGTGCCTGTGTGTCCTCGCAAAATGAAGGATGAGACCCAATTCATCCAGCGAGAAATGGGGCAGGGCCTGAAAGGCAGCGGGGGGGAGGGGGTGGGAAGCACACAGTAGGTGCTCAGTATTATTACAGCTTGTATCTGGTGCCCAATTTTGGAGGCACAAGAACTGCTTCTGTGATACTACTTGGTTTTTTTTTTTTGCTATGTTGATTTTGTTTTGTGCCGAGCCCCACAACAGATAAGTTGGTAAGCTTTCCAGCATGCTCTTTTCTTCCCCAGTGCTCTGAAGGATTGAAAGAATCTTCTGGTTCACTAAAGAAGAAAAACCTCAGCCCCCAAGTAGCATTTGAAATTATGTCCCGATTCTCTTAACACCGGGTCTTAAAAGCCTGGCGACTGTATGATGATGGTTATGAAAGACGCACCCTGCTCATGTGCCTGATGTCTCCAGTCACTACCCGGGTCCTCTGTTTCAGTTCCCAGGCTCCTTTGGCCATTACCACTAGCAGAGGAATGCATCGCCTTTAGAATAGCAGCTTTAAGGACAACAGTTTGAACTCTGTGAAGGATAGAGCTGTTGCTTCAAGAACTTGGCTCCCAGCATATTGGCTTATTTGTTTAAAAAAAAAAAAAAAGTCTGACTATATCCCATATCCCTTGGAGTTCAGCCTTAAATTAAAGACAAAGATGAGTGACTGACAAGTCCATCAAAACCATCAAAAATCTTGCCTTCTGTCTTACAAGGCGTTTGGGAATATTAAGGCTGAGAAGGATCATCTTCCACAGCTGATATACTTGGGTTTTGTCACTGGAACTCATTGTTGCCTAAGAGTTAAATATTTTAGGTGCAGTATTTTACTCTAAAACCAAACTACTATTTTTTCTTATAGAAAAACATGGGCAGCTAACATCAAAGGATTTAGGACTGGCCTTTCTTGGACAGTGATGATATACATTTCATTTTCTAAAAGCACTTTTTAAAAATATAACATGATAAAAATCACAGTTGCTTTATGATTTTCTAAATAACTCAGCTGATAACTTTTCTTTTAGAAGAGGAATATTTTAAAGAACCTGGGCCTTCTTATCTTCCTCTTCTGGAGGGAATTTCTGGGAAAACACATACTCTAGACTGTCTTGAAAGCCTACAGTTAAACACAAGTGGTCTGGCATCACCCCCTGCCTGTAGCAGGGAAGCTGAGGCATGGGGAGGGATGGATGGGCAGGCTTGAATATCAGGCGTACTGAAGATTAATGAACAGTCTCCCCCAAACAAAGTGGAAGCAACTCAGCTTTTCTTTGAATACTTAGCTATTCTCCTGAATGTTCATCATTTATGTGCATTTGATGAAAAAGATGTTGTTTGTGTAATTTGGCAGATGAAGGCTTGTGGTATGCTGGCATTCAACATGACACTTGGTTTCTTTCTCTGTTGCAGATGATTCAATGTGGCCCTGAAACTGGTAGGTGCAGTAGTAAATGGGTGTTTGGGGCTTTACACTGAAAGCATAGTTGGATTTGTAAGGGAGGGGGCCAGTGCAAAGCAGGCACAGGTGAACCGTTGCTTTGTTACCTGATACAGATGAAGACTTTGCACAAAGGAGAGTTCCCCATGTTCAGATGGGTTGACCTCCTGTCCTGTAGGGGGGGCATAGGTAGAGCAGGAATGGTGTGTAAAGTAGGAAATGAAACCTGCTACTCTTGGGAGGGAGATCAAGTGCTGTGGAAGGGATGTCACTTATACTTAAAAACATAAAGGTTTTAGGGGAGCTTTTAGGATAGTAGCTTTCAAAGGATGGTAGGCTCCTGGCAAAGAAGTGTAGATGGAAAGGGGTAAGATGGAGGAGATGGTACTGGCAAAGACTAGGCAATGGGAAGCGGGAGTCTTGTGGGCCAGCTGGCTGGAGTCCAGGCTGAGGCACTGGGAAGGTAGGACTGATCCTAACAATCATGTCAAAGACACTAAATGGGCGCACGCACACACGTAGTCAACTGAAGTGGTTCCAGGTGCTCTGTAGGTTGGGGTCAGGAGGTTGAGCATCACCTCGGCTATGAGTCAGCACTGAGTAATATGTGGCCTGCATTAACAGAAAAAAAAAAAGATGGGCTATGAATTTGGGATGGATCAGAGTGGGTCACTTAGAGTGGTTAGCATCAGGTTGGGCTGCAGAAGGGAGTGTCATGGGTAGTCTCACCTTTTGCTAGGACCATCTCCGGAGTGGTGGGTCTATCACCCTCTGACCCCAGGAGACTTGCGGGACCTCCAAGTGGAACCTGTTAAGAGTAATGTTTCAGCTGAGGACTATTCAATTCTGATGAACATAAGCTGGACACTCCGGGCAGACGGTAAGCTTGCATCAATCACAGATAAGGCCTAAAGTATCTACGAAAGCAAAAATGTATACACTATATGAGCCACTAATTCCTCTTGTAGGCATATACTCAACAGAATACATACATATGTGTGCATACTAGAATGTTCATAGTAGCATTATTCATAACAACCAAGTATGGAATGCATCAGATGAAGAAGTGTAGAATTGTGAAGAACTGAACTGACAATGGAATTAATACAGCAATGAACTTGAAAAATCTGTAAGTACACACAATATGGATGAATCTCACAAATATAAGAAAGCCAGATTAAAGAGTTCATAGGTTTATATCTGCATGCATACCTTCACAATTCCATTAACAAAAAGTACACAATAGGCAAGCTTAACTAAGCCGTTTGAAGTCAGTATAGTAGTTACAGACGGGGAATGATGGGAAGCTAGCATGAAGGGCACTGCCTGGAGTGTTCTTGACCTAGGTACTGGCTGCTTGAGTGTGAAAACTGATCCACTGGTACATATATGATCTGTGTACTTTTCTCTATGTTGTTATACTTCATGGAAGAAAACAGGGTAAGTCCAAAGATGATTTCTCCAAGTTAAGGAAATACACTCACTCAGATGGATACCTTTTCCATTTCCAAATGCCATCAAAAAGGCCCTGGTATTCCCCAAGGCACCTAGTGGGTTCTTTCAATGAACCTAATCCTTGGGTCCTAAAGCCCATGTCTGTGGTTTCCACTGGCTAATTAGTTAAATCACATCCAGTTAAGAATCCAGGAATGTCAGGCATAGAGAGGTGCATGGAGGCTGGGGAAGAGCTGGACTCAGCAGAGAAGAGTTAGACAGTGTTCAGGGAATCCCAGAAAAAGCTGTGCTCCATCCAAGTGGGTTAGAGCAGGCAGGAGCAGGAGGGGGCCCTGGAGATGGTACATTAGATGATGCAAAATTTGCCCCCATAACTGGCACAAAGTGAGCTTTTGTGTTTGTTAGCTTTTATTATAGATGAAGGTGGACAAGTTGGGTCTTGAAGAAGGCAGGGAAATAGAGAATGAAAGAAAAAAGCATTCCAGGGAGAAGACTCAGCATGGACAAAGGTGCAGTCAGAATGACATTCCAATGGGCTTTTGTGGTGTTCCCCAAAGTAAGCCTATTCTTTGTAAGAGACCCAGAATAGTGCAGAGCTAGAGTTACCTCTACAGGTACTCTGTGAAATTCAGGCTCATCCATGAGGAGGAAAGTCTTTGGAATTTGAATCCAAATTCTGCTGTTCACGAACTTTGAAAGTTTAGGCAAAGCTCTTTGAAACTAAGCCTCACTTGCCCCACCGGTAAAATGGGCAAAATAATCATGCCTACCATTTAGAGCTATTGTGAATATAAACTAAGATGAGGTATGTGAAGTGTCTAGCGTCAAGTCAACCACATAAGTGCTAAATAAACTACTTCCCTTTTGCCTATCTTGGCAGCCAGCATCCTCTTTTTGAAGGCCACCAAGATCTGCGTGACAGGTTATAAAAACTTCCGGTCCTACAGTTGTGTGAGGTGCAATTACACAGAGGCCTTCCAGACTCAGACCAGACCCTCTGGTGACAAAGTAAGTACTCTTAGAAACTTGACTAATTATTGTTAAAATTGGGCCCTTTGCTTTGGGGGCAATCAAAGGCTGGTAAGCTTATACAACTTGAAGTTTGGAGAAGGGTACCTGAGTTCAAATCCTATTTTTGGTCACTTCTCTGCTATTGCAAGAGAAGTGCCTTGGGCAAGTCAGCATTTCTGGGGGCATAAATTTTCCCATCAGCAAAGTGAGGGGGAGCTGAGCTTAAATTATATCCTAGCTCTAAAATTTTATACTTCTCTGATTATGTAAGTTATGGAGACAAACCATGTGGGGTTCACTCCTTACATAGACATTGGCTAGGGACATAAGTTTTAGCAGTAGGCTAAGGAATGAAATTTTAAATGAAAAGGGCAATACAAAGGTACTACATTTCTGCATTGCAGTATTTAGAAATTCAGGGGTTCATTGCTTTGCCTTTCAGTGGACTTTTTCCTACATTGGCTTTCCTGTTGAACTGAATACACTCTATTTCATTGGGGCCCATAATATCCCCAATGCAAATATGAACGAAGATAGCTCTTCCATGTCTGTGAATTTCACCTCACCAGGTAAACTTTCTCACTCTTTTGTTATTCTTTGTCTTGCTAGGATACTTGCTTTGGGGTTTTTGGTTTGGTATAGAGAGAATCTGTGACAAGGCCTTTGGCTTCGCTGAATCTCAGTTTCTTCATGGATAATACGGTAACAATTATAACTGTACCTCACAAATTGAAAGAGAGGATTAAATCAGGTAAAATGTATTCCTTTGTGCTAGGTACTGGGTTGAGCACTTTTTAGGTATCATCTCACTTAAGCCGCCAATGACTCCAAGGTCTGAATAGCCTCATTTTACAAATGAAGAAACTGGGTTACAGATGCAAAGTGAAGGTGACATTCAAACTGTGGTCTTCCTTGATCAGTGCACCTTTGCCACTCTTTGTGTCACTGATGTAAAATGGTTGTTCCAATCTTGACTTTCTAGCAAGCTGGGTCTGACAATCTATGGATTTCAGTAGACTCACTCACTGAGCTATCAGAGACAGGCAGGGTGGCACTGAGTTAAATGTTGCTCTGTAAAACACACTTAGTTCAATTCACACTTGCAATGTCACACATGAGATTGTAGTGAGGAGGTGATGGGATCATGTATGCAAAGTGTCTAGCATGGGCCTGGCTGCATAGTTCCCATACCACCCCCATGTGGGTTGGGCCAACTGTTCTGTTCTGTACCCCTCTCCTGTTGTTTGTCTCAGGGAGTGTCAAAGTCAAATGGGGCAACTTCAAATTTCTCTTCTTCGATACTACAATAGCAGGGTATTTTTGGTGCCACAGCATTTACTACACTGTAGTTTACAGCTTTCTTGATGAGACAAAAATCTCATTTTAAAAACGAATGTTTTATTTGGAATAATTTCAGACTACAGAAATGTTGCAAAGATAGTGCAGGGTTCCCCTCTACCTCTCACCCAGTCTTCCCTATCATTAGCATCTTACATTACATCTGTCAAAAGCAAGAAAACAACACTAGTACATTTCTATTAACTAAACTATTAGGATTTCACCTCCTTTTTCATTTAATGCCCTCTTTCTGTTCTAGTTGTGTTTAGTCTTTGTGTCTCCTTAGTCTCCTCTGGCCCATGACAGTTTCAGTCTTTCCTTCTTCATGACCTTGACAGTCTAGCAGTGGTCAGGGATCCTGTAGGATATCCCCCAACATAGTTTTAACCTGATGTTTGTCTCATGATTGGACTGGGGATGTGGGTTTTTGGCAAGAATATTGCAGATGCACCCTTCTCATCACATCCTATCAGGGTGGGTGACATTTACACGACATTGTTGGTCTTCTCCTTCATCATTTGGTTAAGTGGTATCTGCCAGGTGTCTCCATGTAAATCTCCTATTTTCCCCTTTCCAACTCTAGTCTTTGCAAACAAGTCAGAATCTATCCCGTCCTGGGGTGGGGTGTGGAGGTGTGTAAAGCTCCACCTTTTGTAAGAGGTAGCACCTATTGATTTTATTACCAAACTTCATTCTTAAGGGAGGTTTGAGTCTTCTCCTGGATAGATGATGTTTTGATAAAGACTATACATAGACGTTGGTTATTGCTTCATGGGTAGGTAATTTTTTGTTTAACAGTAAAATGTTAGCATCCCATTTGAAAGTCTATCTTACCTCACATCTGGAATGTCCTGGCAGTTTGTTCCATGTGGTAACCATATGTGTGTGCATGTCTGTTGGCAAGGGTGTGACCAGAGATATCTTTTTCTAAAATGTAAAAACTTCCATTTAAATTTCTAGGCTGCCTAGACCATGTAATGAAATACAAACACAAGTGCATCAAGGGTGGTAAGTACAGAATTTGTTTACATTAGAAGAAACTCACAACTTAAGCCTGTACTGCACAAGCCATGTTTTTACAGATGAAGAAACTAAGGTCTTGAGTTTGTTCAGCCACTGAAGGCAGATCATGGCCAATGTTTTTCCATTGAGTCAAGCAGCCTGTCCAGGGAAGGACAGACTCTTAGTAGGTTTATGAAGTGGAACAAGAAGTCACAGAAGACCTCCCACCCCTTAGCTGAACTAGGCTTTTAGCTTAAACTGCATTTAAGGTGGTGCCAACTAAAGACTGTTCCTGGATTGATAGGAACTTTGAGTCCTTCCAGCTGTGCCAATACTGGTGCTACTGACCTGTGGTCATGGGGACCCTGAGAACCTTGTGTTCAAATTAGCAACTATTCAAAGTAGGAATGTGAGCTGAAGTAATGGCCTGGAAGCATATTCTCAACCTGTGTCAGCACTGGGGTTCATCTCTCACAGGCTAGATGGTGAGAACCCACCCTTATCCTTAGAAATATGAAATAAACTCCTTCAGGATATTCAGGCCCACGTGTCCTATTTCCAAGGATTTGTATAAACCTCTAGGAAATATACCCTTAGGATGGTACTGAGGCTAGTGGTATTTGAGGAAATCTTTTAGGTCCCTCCCTGTGCCATCAGACTGAAATGGTCAGAAATGGTTTCTGAGGTGCGCTAGCCCTCTGGGCAGGGATCGAACTTGTGCCATGCCACAGATAGCTTCATAGTGCTCAGAATTAACCCCCTGAGCCCACCAGGGAGGCCTCCAAAATAGCCACTTTTAGCAAACAGTTAACATAGGGTCCCTAGACTTACTTGGGGTGCAGTTACTTTGAAATTCTGGGAGCAATGCTAAAAGTACACTCTAGCAGTCTGTATCTCTTGGATGTATGCCTGAGAATTTAGATTTGTTTTGTCAAGCCCTTCTGGGGACGTAGGTGAGGGAAGAATTTGCAACTTCATCTATGTGATTCTTTCTCAACTCACAGGAAGTCTGTGGGATCCAAACATCACTGCTTGTAAGAAGAATGAGACAACAGTGGAAGTAAATTTTACGACTAGTCCCCTTGGAAACATATACATGGCTTTTATCCAAAGCAGCACTGAGATTGAGAATCCTGTGATGTTGGAGGTACTTTTTCTCCTTCATTTCCCTAACACTACCCCATCCTCAACCTCCCACTTTCCTTACCTTGTTGTAGAAAAATGTTGACATTCTAGAATTCCCCGGTAAGGCTTTCTTTTGAGAGAACACAGACAGGACTTTGTCCAAATGTGCTGGACTGTTTTGATTAATTCAGTGAGTTCCTGGGGGCATCTACGAAAGCATCACTGTGAATCTAAAACCAACCAAAGGTAGAGGTTTAGAATTAAACGACTCCTCCTTTACACATAGTCTAATGAACGGAGTGAGTTTGGGAACAGTTTTTTTGTTGGCAGTCTGTGATCTCAGTCATATGGCTCATGATTCTTGGTTTTGTCTACTTATCTGCACAGAGCAATCAAACTTACATTTCTGTGGCGATTCCAGTGACCGGGGAAAGTGAAGGTGCTGTGGTACAGGTAAAGTTTAATGAGATGCTTTGAGGAGGGGGGCATTAGAAGCCTGATTGTTTCATCACTAATTGCTTTTGATGAGTACTTTCAAAGTTGGAGTACTTGAGTTCTCGCCCCCAATTCACTTCTGCCTGCAGTCTCCCCATTCAGTGATATTAATGTGGAATCCTTGTCTCAGTCTTTACAATGGTAACGTCATGAGATCTTACAGTCCTACTTCCCTTTGCTTTTATTAGTAACTATTAATTTTCTGAAGTACTTTTCTATTTCCTGTCATAGAGCCTTAGAGTAATTCTGAGACAGGAATACCATTTAATTTTCCCAAGCCTCAGTTTTACAGTAAAATGAAGTAACAAAGGATATGAAATCAGGTTTGGATTCAAGGATCAGTGGATAAACTTCGAGGACAACTACCTCATCCCTTGGGCCTCACTTCCTTCAGCTAAAAAACAAGAAGGGGCCTCCCTGGTGGCACAGCGGTTGAGCACTGGTCTCAACCTCTGCAGCGCCGGTTCGATCCCCGGCCATGGGCGAGGGTCCCACATGGCGCGCAGACCTCTCCTGCTGCCCGCTGCTCCCCTCAGCAGTGTATTTTGTCAGTCTGCCTGCTCTGCTTTCCCCTCTGGCTCTGGTGAATTCTCTCACCCTCTCGCGCTTCTGACTGTACCCAGTGCTTGTATAAATAAATAAATAAATCTTAAAAAAAATAAAAATGAAAAAAAAAAAAAACAACAAGAAGTCGGACTAGCAGATGCTCTCAGGTCTCTTTCAACACTTAGTTTATAATGTGGGGCTCTAGAGGGTACCTGTGGGACACAGGATATAGGAAGCTTTTGTTTTTCATTCCCTAGAAATAAAGGGAGTGCTTAGCCATGACAGAGGGAGCAGATACCTGTCAGAACATTAGGACTGGGCCTCCCTGGTGGCGCAGCGGTTGAGCGCTGGGTTGCGAAGCTGCCAGCGGCTTCTGCAGCGCCGGCTCGATCCCCGGCTGCTCCCCGGCCACCAAAGGAGGGTCCCACGCGGCGCGCAGACCTCTCCTGCCGCCCGCTGCTCCCCTCAGCAGTGTGCTTCGGTCCTTCTGCCTGCTCTGCTCCCCGCTCTGGCTCTGGTGAATTCTCTCACCCTCCCGTGCTTCTGACTGTGCCCAGTGCTTGTGTAAATGAATAAGTAAATCTTAAAAAAAAAAAAAAAAATTCTTAAAAAAAAAAAAAGAGGAAGATCTTTTAAAAAAAAAAAAAGAAAGAAAAAAAAAAAAGAACATTAGGACTGCAACCCTTTTCCAAGAATCCATAGACTTTCCTAATCCCAGAGGACTTGTGTCTTCAATTAGAACTCTAACAATGTTTTTTGAAAGGAAATACCTGTATAATTATTAGGATATGACCTAACCCTTTTAGAAAAGGAAACTCATATATGAGCCACACACAAAGTTTTCAGTTCAGATGGTATTTTGGTCGTGGGTCACTGGTTTGGATTTTAGGTCTGTTACAGAAATGTGACCAAGAGGGAAAATAAATATGTGTTGCAATGCTGGGTATGTGGGTGGTGGGAAGTGTTTGAAAACCAGGTAAAAAGCAGGAAGGGATATCTGGGAGGAAGCAGGAAGAATGCTGATATCTCGCTCTCAAGTGTGGAGGGAACTTTCTGAGCCTTTCATTTTTCCTCAGTTGATTCCATATTTCCATACTTGTGGCACTGACTGCATCCGACGCAAAGGAACTGTTGTGCTCTGCCCACAAATGGATACCCCCTTCCCTCCGGATAGCGGTAAGTGCCCATTTTCATTGGGTGATCAAAGAGGTTCAGGACATGAAAGATCCACCATTCCTAGCCTCTCCCCCTCTCAATGTGTCAGTGTGTGTGCATATGGGGAGTGGAAGCTGGACCCTGTCTGTGTATGCTGAGCTGCAGTGCACAGAAAGATGTCAGTGCTATCCCAGAGAGCCAATAATCTAAGAATGAAAGCTTTACTTATAAAATCATTCAAGATCATTTATGAAGCAGCATATACACAGACAGGAACAAAAATAAACTGTACAAAATGGATGTGCAAAGTACCACAAGGAACAGAAAAAAACCAGAGACATAAAAGTTCTTGCTATATAATGAACATGCATTTCACTGCATTTGATAATCTTATCCATTTCAATAGCACAGGCCTACCTGTTATTGTAATTTGATGTGGTCACACAGCCAACATTTGGATAACAAATTAGGAATGCTGACACCAAAGGACAAGCTTTGCTGGTGCCTCAGAGCAGCACATTCTACAAAATATCCCTCTAGATTTAGAGATGTAAGGCAGTTCTTTCAAAACGAATGGACAAATAAAATGTTTCTACAGCTAGCTCAGGGATGGAGTCAAATGTTTGTAGATGTTGCTCTGAGAAACTCCATCAAACCAAATGAAGACAACCGAGGCGCCTCACCACCCTGACTTCTGTGTGGGTGCAGTACTTTCTGTATGCCTGAGCTTTCCTGGTCCTCAGCATTCCTATGAGGGGTTGGCATTAGCTCCCACAGTTATGATTCTAGCAAAACAGCTTTTAAAAATGCTATCACTGTGAATTAAGTAATTATACCCAGAATACTAATTTGTCAAAGAACAAAAAGCTGAATGTAAAATGCCTGTGTATGTGTACAGTATGAAGCCAAGGTGACTTTAGAGGACTTGGTCTTAACCTCCTGTGACCCATACCCCTTTTAAAGATCTAATAAAAACCTGGATACTTTACAGAAAAACACACTGATCTGCAGACCCTCCTAGAGAGCTACTGACCCTTGGTTTTTAAAGACATCTAAACTTTTACAAAGTCTGAAGTAAAAAATCTTGGTTTCCAAATAGGAAATACATTTGATTCGGGTTTGCTAAGGTGAACAAATTTTGTTTTCTCTAGGCACAAGCGTGTCTGGTAATGTAAGGGGCAGGAATGGACACAGGGCAGGTTTTCTGATCCAGCAGACCGGGTAAAGGAGGAGTCAGAGTCCTCAGTGGCTTTTGCAGGTCTTTTATTTAGATTTACCACGCATATGACAGGTAGCGGTGCTGGGAGGCCTCACTCTATCTGGGCTCTCTGGCGTTCTCGGGGAGGGGGGGTCTCTTCTTCTCTTGGCTTCCGTTCGTACTTGGCTTCTGCTGGCGTCCCCACGACGCCGCTCTTATAAACTCAGTCTCTCAGCCCAGGTGCCCGCCATCAGGCATGCATTCAGGACCACAGGGTTCCGTCATCTATCCTAATGGCGGGAGGGCAGAAAAGCCTGATACTTTTTACCTTACCCTACAGGTGGCTGGCTGCTGCTTCTCCTCCTTGCCCTGCTGGTGGCCACATGGGTGCTGGGGGTTGGGATCTATCTAACGTGGCGGCATGGTAAGGTTTATGATTCAGTTCTTTAAATTTTTTTAAGGTGCTTCCTCTAAAGACAATCATATTTTAGCATCACATTTGGTACAAGAGTCAGGGAGTATCTATTTAATGCCTCACAGCTATCCTAAAACACTGATAAAAAGAGTGGGTTTCACCTGCTATAGTAAAGCATGGATTAGGAACTCCAGATCTGGTGTTTCACCTGCTTTATCTTTACCAGAGGCATCTACAAGCACTGAAATGGGCAAAAGACATAATAATGAACTGTTTTACCTGTGATTTGTACTGTATGCTTGATCCTACTTTCAAATAATTGAAAAAATTTGCAAGAATTTTAGTAATTCTTCAAGGCATCAGAACATATACTTGCATTCATATACACTGAAATTCTTAACAACTCCAAAGCACTGAGGATTTGAATATAGAAATCAGAGTATTTATATAGATATACAGATATAGATATATAGAAGGCACAATGAAAACCTCTTTTCCGCAAATAGAAAATATAAGTGCAAATTTTGAGTCACTTGTGATGAGGATAGAACCAAACTGATCCCATGTTCTTTCTAAGCTAAGAAAGTCATATAGCAATTGGACCTTAGAAATACTCATATTTAGGGGATGTTTGACGAATATTAAAGTACTTTGATTCATAGCTTCTGTTCTATAGTGCATACCGACAGAGTTACAGTTAAGTTCTAGGGGATGAAATGAAGCACCACTTATGCAACTATTTATAAAGAAACTCTCCCACCTGCAGGTAGAAGGTGGAACAACTATTGTTAACCCAACTCAAAACAGGCAGCACAGGGGTCAGGTGTCCTGGCATATATATGGCACTAACAGTACTAAATACAAAACACACCTGAAACAAAATAGCTTAAAACGGTTTCTAAGAATTTGAAAAGATGTGGCTTGATTTAGAGGAATGATGTAGTCATAAGGACTCTTAGAAAATACATCCTTTTTTTTATGATTGATTTATTTATACAAGAACCAGGTTATAGGTCAGATGTGTGGGAGAGGGAGAGGATTCACCAGAGACAGAGGGGGGAACAGAACAGGCAGACTGACAAAATACATTGCTGAGGGGAGCAGCGGGTGAGACAGGAGAGGTCTGCCACACCATGTGGGATTATCGCTGGCTGGCCAGGATCGAACCCGCACTGTAGATGCTGCGGACAGCTTCACAGTGCGGCGCTCAACTGCCTGCGCCAGGTTTCATTCAGGTGACATGCTCTGAAGGAACATGAGGGAAAGTTTATTCTCTAGCAGAAGTAACACCCCTGGTGCTTAGCCAGTGTTCCTTAGCAAGGGATCATTTATTAGACAGTTTAGAGTGAAAACTTGTTAGCTGTTCATAGATAACAAGTGCTTTTCCCCCCACAGAAAGAATCAAGAAGATTTCCTTTCCTAATACCACATTACTGCCACCCATTAAGATTCTTGTGGTTTACCCATCTGAAGTATGTTTTCACCACACAGTTTGTTGCTTCACTGAATTTCTTCAAAACCACTGCAGAAGCGAAGTTATACTTGAAAAATGGCAAAAAAAGAAAATAGCCGAGATGGGTCTAGTGCAGTGGCTTACCACTCAGAAGAAAGCTGTGGATAAGGTCATCTTCCTTCTTTCCAATGATGTCAGCCCCATGTGTGATGGCACCTGTGGCAGGAGCCAGGGCAGCTCCGGTGAGAACGCCCAAGACCTGTTCCCCCTGGCCTTTAACCTCTTCTGTAGCGATCTGAGAAGCCAGACTCACCTGCACAAATACATGGTGGTCTATTTTAGAGAGGGTGATACCAAAGACGATTACAATGCCCTCAATGTCTGCCCCAAGTACCTCCTCATGAAGGATGCTCCCACTTTCTGCACAGAACTTCTCCGTGTCAAGCAGCAAGCCTGCCACAACCACTGCTCCTTGTAGTCTACCCATGAGAAGCAAGAGACCTTGATGCCCTTCTACCCGTCCGAAACAAGGAAAAAGAACATCTCTGATGATTCTAGCTTATTCTTTGGACTACTTGTAGGGGGAAAAAAATACACATATAGTAGCATATACACTTTAGCAGTAGGAATAGGGTGGATTCAAAACTGAGTACGTATGCCTTAGTCCAATACTTAAAAAATTTTATGCCAATGATATACAAAATATATGATATATCATATGATATACAAAATATCACTACCATAACATTAAAGAACAGAAACTACATTTATTATAAAGCTAAAATCAATTTCATTAAAAATCAACAACTTAAAATGTAGAACTCTAACCATTCTGGTAAAGTATCTTCCAGCCAAACATCCAATCTGGAATATTAGCATATGCACTGGACTGAACAGTTTAGACCTAAGTTTAATTAATGAATGACAAATTTAAGAAGCCCTCAATTAACTTAGGGAAAAGTCTTGTTTCACACAAGTCTTTAAGATAACAGAAATAGGGAACAAGCTGAATCTGTCTTTGCTGATAGATGACCCGTTTATATCACTTGCTTTATTTAATATTTGCCTGGGGCTGTCCCTCTCCAAATTAGATTCAAGTCTTTATAGAAGGGATTTTGAAAACAAACACAAAAATATTTTTTTAATGCAGAGGTCATCAAAAGGCTAAATTTATACTAGCAAGTATTTCCCTAGGAATGCTTGTATCTTTCAATGTAATATTGAACCTAGTCTAGAATGTGGATCATTTCCAGCTAAATGACTTAAAATGTGCTAGCAGATTATCCTTAAAGGCCATGCGCCACTTCTATTACATGTGTGATGGATAAAATAAAAACCAGAATAAAGAAGTGAAGTTCACTGTGCCCAGCTTTCACAAGCAGAGATGTAATAATGGCTGAGGCAGTGCTTAATGTGGTAAAGTTCACTTGTCATGATTAGGTTTCACAATGCTTTTAAGACTTCATAATAGTAGTGGACATGGCTTATGCCAAAACTTGGATGAAAACTCAAATTCCTGAATAAACATCTACCAGCATAAGGCCTAAGAGCATAGGATATGCTATTACCATGTGAAAAACTATTATGAACATAAAGACACTATGCTTTTAGAACTAGGTAACAGATACTACAATGTGTTGAAACAGTTCAGAAACACTGTAAATTTATTTTCAAAAATATTTTTAAAAATACAATTTCAAATTGAAGGCATACATCACACATAGTACTAGCAAGTTAAAATTGTTATACTTGTGAACGATTGCTTGTTCCTAACCTGTTGTACCAACACTATTAATGCAAAATGTTCCAGTACCAGCATTTCTCCAGTACCAGCATTTCCCAAGACATGTAACCATTCCTGTTCATTCTGTATTCCACTCATCTTTTATCCATCCCTACTTTAGCCTTCCTCCAGTCCCACCCTCAGTTCTTGATAAGTGAGGTGGTGGAAGCATGTGCCTAATGGGGATTGGCAGGAGTCAGGCTTTCTCTTGATTCCCCACCCCCCACCCGTCTGAGCACCCACCTGTACTTATTGGCTCCTGTGTCTGGATAATGCCTTCTCTTCCTGCCATGGGTTCAAAAGGCTTCACTAAGGTCTGGACCACGGATGGAAATAGCTGTCTATATTTTGATTTTGATGCAAATTGCTCACATATTAAAGATAATCAAACAGAATACAAAGAACTCCAAAAGCTTCCATTTGGTTATTCAGCTAAAGGGAAACTGGTGGCTTGATGATTAACTTATTAGTAATGACAGGGCTCACTTTTTTATCGTACAACACAACCTAATAATTCTAAATTTTATCTGTCTTTTGTTTGGCTTCAAAAAGGAAATAAGCTTGTCCTTTCAGTTTTTATTGTTTTGGTCAAATAATGGTTTTCTTTCCCTAAGCCCACCCTATGGCATATTAGGTAACAAATATCAGCTAGCTAAATTCTCTGCCTCTGAATATCTACACCTGAATGGGCTCCAATCTTTTTTGTACTCCAATAGAAAACGGGCAGAAAAAAACCCCTCTTTTTCCCTATTTGGAATTCCAAAACATAAGTGAGGACATATGTGCTTGTTGTACTACACAAGAAAGAAAAGGGCATGCCACAGACTTCTGGCAATCTGTGTGCACAGATCACATGCTTGTGGTGCCCCGTGGCAGCATGAGATACTGTGCTTGAAGATACTATCGACCTACATGAAGTGACTTACATGAAAGACTTCACTGCTTGAGGACTGCTCAACAGTATTTTACATCATTGAGACATGTATGAGACCCTGAGAAAGGGCAGGAGAATTTAGCACCAAAGAGAAAGTTTATGTTCATTCTCAAATGTCCTGACTATAAAAGCAGCTTATAATTTCAAACCAATGTCATGTTGTCAACATAAAATTTAAAATTCATTTATTATCCAAGAACTTAAGCATTTAAGTCAATAAATTAAAAAACGTAATTCTGTTAAGTCTTTTATACCAAAAGGCTTGTTTTTGGTCTTCAACAGTGACTTTTTCTGTCCATTTCACCAGACAAAAGCAGCTCGCTCACGTAACATGCGGACACCAAAGCGCTGCCATTCTCGCTGATAAATCCACAGTTCCTGGGTTGTATCCAAACAAGCCAACACTGCCCCTCCTTTCCATGCAATCAGTCGGGGATCCATATCCTAGAACAGTGATAACAATATTTTAGCATTAAGCAGTTAAGATGTACACTTAATAAATTACTTAAATTTGGGGATTACTACATAAGTCAGACTTTCAACCTGCATTATAGATTTATGCAAGACCCCATTAACTATAGCTATATGTTTCAAGTGAAAACTTTTTAAAACTATTAAAGACGCTACTTTCACTATTATTCCACAAGTAGTCAGGCCCTGCAGGCAAGAAACTTATGTAAAGGTAGAATTTATTTTGACGTTTGAGTGGAATAAATATATCCCATAATCCCTCACTGAGGATTAAGAATATTCCCAGGCATTGTCAGATATAATTAAATATAGACACAACTGTTTCTGAATCCTTGTGTATGTTTCTTCTCAAGATAGTCCAAAGGCAAAGAGATCCTTAAAGATCATCTGGTCTAACAGTACATCCTTAAGATGAAAAGAATATAAATGGAATTGTTCTGGCTAACAGTATAAGACTGGGGGGCTTCTCTTTATCTCAGCCAGTCCCTTACATACAAGGAGAAGTCAGTCTTGCCAGTTTGGAGAGAAAACATGGACTGAAACCCAGTAATGTTGTTCCCTAGTCCAGAGCTCCTTTCACAACATCTGCAACCTACTAAAAGTAATTTTCCCAGTTGCCCTAAGTCCTCAAGAATTTCAGAGAATTTTGTCTGTCCATATACAGCATAACAATTAGAAATAATGAATGGTAGTTTCATTTGCATATAGTCCAACTTGCACTAAGAACAATACCTTGGGCCTTGTGATCACGTCCACATTTTCAATAATTCGCCTAAATGAAGGCGGCATTTTGTTGAGAATTCTGTGCTGTAGAAACTCTTGAGCTTTGTGAAACATCAAGCCACCTCCCACCACTAGGATGGAGCTGTACATCTTCTTTTTGGTATCATCAGATGCTGAAAAAACAGTGACACCCCTTCCATATCCACCACCACCTTGGGCCAAGCCACCACTAGTCTGTAGCTTGGACAACTGCCATAGCCTTCTTAAGGATCTATCTAACCCATCCTCAACATGCAGCCAGAGGAATCTTGCAAAACACAAATGTGAGCATGTCGCTGCCCTATCTCCTATCCTGTTACTTGCAGAACTGGGACTAGTATCTTTAGGTGGGACTACAAGTCCAACATGGTCTGCACTCACCTCTTAGCCCCATCCTTGCACCCTGCATGTCCCTGCTACATTGGCCTTCACACAGGTTTCTTCCTCTACATGGAATGCCACCCCATTTGACTGGCTAATCTCAACTCACTCCTTAGACCTCTTGGCTCTTAAAGAAGCCTTCTTGCTGCCTACTCTGCACACCACCCCCCTAAGTAAATATCTCTTATTAAATCCCACAATTAGCTCTCATGGTGAGTACCCTTTAGTTCTATTTTGTAGCATCTGACACAATTGTAATTTCACACTTTTATGATAATTTGATCTCTAATTTGTTCTCTTCCACTAGACTACATGCTCAAAGAGGCCAGGAACTAATTCTTAACACCTGACAATGCAAGCACAAAGTAAGTGCTCAATAGTTTATGAATATGCTACACTGCACAACTATAGCCTAGCCTGATCCAATTCATTTAATAGCATCTCCCAGCTTCCCCCGAATATGCTTACAACAGCAGTCTATGCTATGAAGGATGGCTTTATCCAGGCCCAGGGCTTTCCCTTCGAACAGTGAGATAGCAGTCTTCCTGGACATCAGTGCAGTGAGGGCCTCCTCAGAATCATTGCCAGCCATTAGGCAGTCTCCCTGGGAGGATCCCAAATCCACTTCCTGGGAATGAAGTCTTTCTGGAAGATCAGAGGACTGGCCACGAAGATCCCCTTCAAATCCAATGGGTTTGGATGCAGACTTTCGGTCAGCAGTAGCTTTTGCAGACTTCAAAGCAATGAAAAGGAAAAATAAGCAGAGATATAACTAAAATAGAACTCTTCCCTAATGCTATACATGATAAAACAAAAGTTTTTCACTGTGGTACAGAGAGGAAACACACATTATAATACAGCTAACCACTCAAGGAAAATGGGAGAGTTGGTGTACAGAAGATGAGGATGTACTGATAATTCCAAAACAGACACTGGCAAGCAGGGTAGGTCTCAGAGGACTGTATACCTGTTGGACTTTAAAACTTAAAAATCAGTGTAGATCGTATCCCCCACCCTTGAACTGAGATTTTCAGTGGAATTCTTAGATCAGCAGCTATTATGGAACCCTCAATTTCAGATCTTTTCAAACCATCTCATGTTTACCCTTGGAACAAATTAAAGATTTACATCCGTTTTCTTTCCATCATGAGCTGCTAATGCTTCATTAGAAGATAAAAACTTTAATTTGTGCCAATTTACACACCCTATGACAAGAATCAACTTTGGGCAAAGGAATTCGGCTCCTTACCCATGGTACACATCTTTAATATTTTAATTAAAAGTGAAATTTTACTGAAAATACTTGATATTGGATACTCAAAAATAGGTACATTACACACACACACCCCCCGATTTATGGGAAGGGGCTTTTGTTAAATTATCTTTTAAATGCATGGACTAGTATTTTGAAATTGGATAAGCATCTGCCAAATACAGAAATCTTTCATCCATATTTTAAACTTAGACCTCACTTCACCTACAGTACTCAGAACAATATCAACACTCATGTGCTGTCAGATTGCAGTGACTGCAATGACCATTCATTATGGGCCACTTCTACAGGGACAAAACTGCCTCTTTCTACACCTCAACTATTGCGTACCTGCTCTTGTTTGCTCTGTGTGGCCAGTAGGTAATGCTCATCATGAGGATCTTCAGGATCACCCTGGGATCTATGTTGCAAGGTCGTCATTTTCTGTCCAACAATTCCAAAAGTTGCTGGGTAAAACAAAGCCATTGGAGCCTGTGTGTGGAAGGAAAAGAATCATCAACCAACGATACTGCCTCCTGAAACAAAGTGATCTACTAAATTGTTTTTCCAAGAGAGAAAATGTCAATCAGATTCTAGAAGTCAGAATGGGAAGGGTGCTCTTTTGGAAGTAGATTTTTTTCAGTACACGATAGGCTAGAAAACATACTTGTCATTCAACTAAATGAGTGATATGACACTACACAAGAGAAACCTCAAAGCAAATGTAAAACAAATTCCAAGTTATCTACTTTATAATTTCCTAATAAAAATGATGTCTAATCTCTCCAAGTAACAACTAATGACCTAGTAACTAATTAAAAACATGGTCCTCAGATGTGTTCTTATTTATACCATTGGTGTAACCTTTGGTTTAGGGAGAATAATGCACAACCAGTTGACATTCTGACCTCACGAAGGTTCCAATGTGTGCATATTTTCTCCATTTGATTGAACCTGGCTGGCTTGCTTTCTACTCATGGAAAAATACACCCGTTTGTTGTCACCTGGAGTTTTTCATCTCCTAAGCGAAACTGGTAAAGCAGCGCTGGGGAATCTGGATGTCGTATCTGAAACTCATGGTCCTGAAGCCCAGAGATGTCCTGATTCCAGGAAAAGATGCTGTCAGTGAATCAGTAAAAGGCAGGTAAACTCATTATATTACAATGAAAGCCTCTCTACCATCTACCTTGCTTCCCTTTTAACATTTCTAAAATTTCTACCATCTGCATTTTGTTTGCTTCACTATCAACATACATGAATACAAACAAATGACCCAAATCAATAAGCCAATTCCCCCAATAACTGAGGAATGTTGTGGTCTTATGTTTCTCACTTTTTTAAAAATTCAGATAGTATTACTTGAAAAAGGTAAACAAAATCTAAAAAACATTAATAAGTATCAATCCACATACAGAAATGATTAAGAGAACTGTTCACAACACTAAGAATGAGCTTCAAATGATGTCATTTCTAGCCTGTATCCATATATTTACTTGCTACTAATCATTATACCTGAAGGTTTATCTTCATCCTTTATCAGAATGATCATAGACTCTAAACAGAGAGAACTTTGCTAAACTCTCTTAATTGCCTTTTTTAATTATCTTTTTTTCTGAAAACAAAATAACCAAATTTGATTTTTCTCCCACCTGATCTAAATGACAAAAAGTTTCTTTAAGATGCTGCAGAAGAAGGCAATCCATTTTATTTGTTAACTGGCATTCTCTGTAAGGGAACCCAGCTCGCTGCATCAACCAGTAAAAACATCTTGACACATCAGATCCCCCATATGCCAGGCAGAGCCTAAGAGAACAGGGGAGATGGGTGACCTGTCAGTTAAGATACAAAGAGTATTTTAAGAGCTTAAGTAGGTATAGTGAAATATAAGTTTCAAGAAATAACTTAAAGGGCAGAATGGATGGATGGAATGGTGTAAGAGAACTCTAGCAAAACCTAGTGGCAGGTGTCATGATGCAGTCATGCTATTTGCAAAAAATATCCAAGAAACAGAACACTCATTACATTCAGCTTATTTCCAAGTCAATGTTTGCAGATATAGTTGTTTTTCTGCCTATATTCACCTACATAAAAAGGAGGCAGTGACACCATGTATTTATGAGAAGAAAATCTCAGAGAATACTATCTCTGGATGTATAATATAATTGGTTGTTAATGCAATTTTAAAAGACTATTGCTATTTTTTTTTTTTTTAAAGATTTATTTTTTTATTTATTTATACAAGCACTGGGTACAGTCAGAAGCGCAAGAGGGTGAGAGAATTCACCGAGCCAGAGCAGGGAGCAGGCAAACTGAAGTACACTGCTGAGGGGAGCAGCGGGCAGCAGGAGAGGTCTGCGCGCCATGTGGGACCCTCCCTCCAATGGTCGGGGAGCAGCCGGGGATCGAACTGGAGCTGCAGAGGCTGCGGGCAGATTCGCAACCCAGCGCTCAACCGCTGCGCCACCGGGGAGGCCCTGCTATATGTTATTTTAATGGTAAGAAACCTGACCCCAGCATTTTGTCCACATGTCAAGAATCAGTGTCATTAGATAATACAAAGAATGGATGAGCCCAACATAAATCTGTTTCTGTATCTTGAGACTCAAACTACCTACTGTGAGGAACAGGAAGAATTATAAGCAGTCATCTGGGAACATAAAATGCTGCTGAGTCCCCATATGTGTATCACCTGAGTGGTAGTTGCCTGCACTGCGCTTATCTCAGGAAGGACAAGCAGCAAACCTGCTCCTAATAACTTTATTAACTCTTAATTAGTGGTGATATCATGAGGTTGACTACCAAAGTTACCTCTCATACATTGAACACTGATATGACAAGAAAACAAGTATTCAAAATGCTAGCTAGACCTGAAAATCCATTTCTCCTGAAACAGATCCTTTGGTAATATCATTCATTCATTATAATGATGAGAAAGAAAGAAAAGAATCAATTCCTGGCAGGGGCCCCTGTATGTAGCTTACAAGTTTTCTCATATCTTTGTAGTTTTTTTTCTGGATTCCTCTCACACCCCAAAGATGTGCATGTGAGATGCACTGGGGTATCAAAAGCATCCCAATCTGAGTTGGGGGGGCACCTTGGCTTCCCATTGAGGGTTGGGTCCCATCTTTGCGCCCTGAGCTGGTCCTACCTGAGACCCTGAACTGGAATAAGCAGGTTGGAAAATGAGTGAATACAAATATATCGTAAATTTTGGGTCTTTATTTAGAAGTTTGGCAATGTTTCTGTAACCAGGAAAGAGCTGTAAGAGTTTAGGTTATTTATGTCAACTAGACTGTGGTCAACTTGGTGTTCCTTTTCATTTTTAGTCACAGTTTCTAAGAACAAGCTGAAGACACTGAGGCCTTACTGTATACAACATGCCTAAAGCTGCTGTGAATGTGACAGATATTTCTATGACAGATCACAACAAAAGACACAGAACTAGCACATTAGCTTTTGGTGGGAAAACATACTAGGACATTCAGGAGCTGCTGATATGAGCACATTTTAAAGAGAGCCAGTGAGAAAGGTTAGATCAGGGTCCTCCCTGGTGGCTCAGGGGTCAAAGTCTCAGCACTATCAAGCTATCACCAGCCACTGTGGCATGAGTTTAATCCCCAGCCAGGGAGCTAACCCACATTTGGCATAGCAGACCTCTCCTGTCTCACTCGCTGCTCCCCTCAGCAGTGTATTTCAGTAGATCCTCCTGTTCTGTTCTTCACTCTGTCTCTGGTGAATCCTCTCACACCCCCCCGCCCCCAACACACACACCTCTGGCCTGTACACCAGCTCTTATATGCATAAATAAATAAATCTTTAAAAAAAAAATAATGTCTAACTTGTGACACTTCATAGTTGAATAAAGTGTGAGAAGGAGTGGGAAATACCACCTCCCAAGCTCCTTACCGAGTATTCCTATGAGAGACCCCATCTTCTACACAGCACACACTTGTCTTCTGATCCCCAACATCTACGATACATGTGCTGCTTAAGCCACTTCCATAGGTGGCACACACAGACTCCTGATGGACCACAATCCCTGAAAAACAAGAGGTAGAAGAACACTCAACTGGGGAACAAGACTAACTTTGTCATTAAAAACAACAACAAAAAAATCTCATTTCAAGTACATTTTATTGGGTTATCGGACATACCTGAAAAACCCATTTTCATTAGGATCATATTCACTAATTCTTTTACATGCTGTTTATTATAGATATCAGGAATCAACAAGATACATCTATAATACTAAAAAGAACAAAGGAAAAAAGATAAAATGGTTAACACAAAAGCCCAGACAAAATAACTTTCACCACATTTATCTTCAAAGAGGATTTCCCTAAAGGAGTAACATTAGGCCCAGAATAAAAGTTAAAACCTCTCTGTTATCGGTTTTATTTAGGGAAAAAACTAAACATGTTTAAGTTCACTTTTATTTTCCTCTGAATTATTTAAAACTTTTGAAAAGAAAAGACTGCTAACATGTCTGAAAAAGGTCTAGAGAGGGAGCATAAAAATGAGCAAGCTTTCAGATTGCAGAGCAGTAGATAGTCTAAATAACTAAGAAAAAGAGAAAGTGCCAGAGGGAAATTCAGTGAAGGAAAAAAAAAAAACCTTAATCCTCAAGACTGAGAATGCTTCAAAGACACCACATTACAAATAACTTAGTAATGTGTACTTTTATCAACCAAAAATTTTAAAGACAACCCATAACTGGGAATTGTAGTTTACCTTTAAATCTTTCAGTGGGATTTCCAAGTATTTCTGTATTGCATGAGACCATATTACTTCAATATCTGCCAGAACAGCTGTAAGGGAACCTCCAGGTCCTGGGTGAATATTTAACTGGCCTCTTCTGATAGGCCAGTGAATATTGTAACAGTCCAGTGGATTAACATACAAGGCCTAGAAAATCCAGAGGTGACCACCCTGTTAAACACAATTCTCTCAGGGCTTTTGGATTCACATTAAAAAACAAAACAAGGGCCTCCCCTGGTGGCGCAGGCGGTTGAACACAGTGCTGTGAAGCTGTCCACAGCCTCTGCAGCGCCGGTTGGATCCCGGCTGGCTGGCGAAGGTCCCACATAGCGTAGTAGAGACCTCTCCTGTCTCATCCGCTGCTCCCCTCAGCAGTGTATTTCATTAAGTCTGCCTGTTCTGTTCCCTGCTCTGTCTCCAGTGAATCCTCTCACCCTCCCGCGCATCTGGCCTGTACCCCAGTTCTTGTATAAATAAATTAATTAGAAAAAAAGATTTAAAAACAAAACACTACAGCCAGAAATTATCCTCAACATTTACTAACTATTCCATACATTGAGAGTGGAGTATATAATATCTCAAAAGCCAGTAAGAATATTCAGTCTTAAAAGGATTATGTAATGCAATGAAACAACCAGAAATGGGAGGCAATATAAGTGAATTTTAGGAGCAGAACCAGTTATTTTCTTCCATTTAATTGTAAAGAACTTTCCTACCTCCTCTCCTACCAAGAATTCAGGGTGATGAGATGTGTTTGTCCATTTATTTCCAGAACAGTGATCTAATATTGCAGGTCGCATTTGCTTGTTGTAAGAGAGTGCCTGAAAAAATGATCAGAAAATTCTCTGAAATTACACAAGAAAAAAAAGGATGGGGTGAGGGGGAGGGGGTAATATGAGTCCTTTTTTCTTTCTTGTAGACCAAATATTAATCACAAATTGATTCAGGTAGTTGGCAAAATACTAACTGGTCATGAAAGGATTCTTTTGCCCTTTCCCCCAGTCTTGATTTTCCCATGATTTTAACATACAGGCTATGACTCAGTCCATAATTAATACTATATCTCTGCCTGGCTGTTGAATATAAATTTATATAACATACCTATTCATGGCCACTCCTAATAGTATAGGTTTATCATTTTAGAAGGACAAATGGAGCAAGAATATAGCTTCATACCAAGATTCTGAAATTAAGCAAGCTGTTTTCATCAACTTGCTGTAAGAAGTTGACTTGCCTAAATATTTGTGACAATGATTCAGGTCTGAAGGAGGTTATGAATTATTTTTCTTTCTTTTCAAAGGAAATCCCATCTTGCATTTGCATAATGAAATAGCTAGTACACACAAACGGTATTTTGACATACTAGTGGTGGTAAGTAGAATAAACCTGAAGGAAGAGCAATCTGAAGAAAGAGCTAAGAATGAACCTGTTCAGGGGACACAGGAATCCGTCTTGTGCCATTTGACATCTTTTTAGACCATATTGCTTGATCCACCATTTTAAGGCCATTTTGTCTTTGTTCTTTACTTTCAGGTTTCTGGGAAAAAGGAATGAAAGATGAATAATATAAAGGATTTAGTGAAAAGAGAAAACTGAAAGGCAAACTACTAATTTAACTGACCAACAGGAAATGCTTCCTCATCAACAAGTAGTATTTCCTTAATCTTCCTCACGTAATTAATAAGATTTCAAAGTAATCTTCTTATTATTTATAAATAAAAGTTTGAAAAACTCACCATAAACCGACTTCTTACAAAAATTCATAACCTGAACTGACTTTTGACTGATAAAAATTTTCATAGTACTAATTAAAGCACAGCTACTTCGTATTTACAAAATATTCCAGAGACTCTTCCATATGTCTATATAGTAATCATGTTTATAATTTGTAATGATGTTATATTCCTTCATGATATTTTGCTTCATCTATCACACTCATATCAGGGTATATTAAAACATAGAATGGACTTAATATAATCTGCTAATCACCTAAAAAAATGGAATTCCAAGGCTACAATCAAAGTTAAAGAAACTGCACATTCCTAAAACTATCTTTGACTTAAAACTTAAAAGTAAGTTATAATGCAATATTCATATTTAAAACATACAAAAAATTTTCCCAATAAAATAAAGTAAACGCTTACTGTTAGGAAATATTTTTTGCTTTTAAATTATGATCTGATCTAAGACTATCATATGTACTTATTGCAGCAATTCAGTTTGCTTACGGATTTAAAATATGAGCTCAATTTAAGTATTTTAGTAACTGGAAGAAAAAATACAGCAGTTACTAGACACCGGAATGCATCACTTTAAATGAGTGACAATTTTGTATCTTATATTAAAGACCAGCTCCAGCAACACCCAGTTCATCCTGATGGGTTAAAAAAATTGGGTTTACTTATTTATAAGTATTTCTTTACAATCTAAAATGGTGCGCTCTGATGAAAAATTATATTCATTTCCTTAAATTATATTATTATTTTAAAACATATTAAAGCTATGAAAATGTTTACTCAAGATTACTATATACGGGCCTCCCCGGTGGCGCAGTGGTTGAGCGCTGGGTTGCAAAGCTGCCCGCAGCCTCTACAGCACCGGTTCGATACCCGGCTGTCAGGCGAGGGTCCCACATGGAACGCAGACCTCTCCTGCTGCCCGCTGCTCCCCTCAGCAGTGTACTTCGGTCCTTCTGCCTGTTCTGCTCCCTGCTCTGGCTCTGGTGAATTCTCTCACCCTCCCGTGCTTCTGACTGTACCCAGTGCTTGTATAAATAAATAAATCTTTAAAAAAAAAAAAAAAAGATTACTATATACACTGAGTCTAGGCTCTCTCAAGAAAACAACCTTGGCTTTATCTCCAGGTCCTCAATTTGTGACTTACATTTAGTCCCTCCCTTAGGAGCCAACTGTCCTTGTATAAGGGCTGCCCTTGCTGTTTGTGTCTTCTTGCAATGACATGAGGAATGCTGGCAGGAAGTGTGTCTGTGGCTCGACCAATCCTCAGAGTTGTTGATCCTGGATGTATAACAACAATGAAGTTGCTCTGGATTTGCTGCAAATATAAAACATAGGAATGTGACCTTAGTAGATGATAAGTAGGTAGCAGGTAACAAAAAACTTATAGGTAAAAGGCTAACCTGAGAAGTTAATTTCCTATAATGATTATCAGATTCATAGGTATCAAAATAATTCAGCAAAGCACTCTGAGGAGTATTCAGTTATTACCCTCTGAGTATCTTGTTCACTATGGCACACAAGAGCCTAGGGGGTATTACATAACAGTACAGGTGCCACAGGGGATACGAAAAACCCAGTGTGTTACACAACCGACTGAAGTTAAGGAAATGCTACTACAGTGGTTAAGGGCCCAGGCTATGGATTCACAGATATGGCTTCAAGTTCAGTTGTACTACTTCCTCACCCCACATGAAGATCCTACCTCATAAAATTGTGAGGATTAAATGATTTAATCATACAGCTGGAGAGCCTGGCCAGCAGTTAATACTGCAAAGCTTTCCAAGATCTCACTGCCTTCAGAAGAGGCCAGACTCTGGCTTATGACCCTCATGATAAGTTTTTGGCTAAGACTTATAGTCTCATCTCTTGCTCCTTCTCCTTCCAGTTTCAAATATCCCAGTCGCCAATACCTCATATCCTCTTAGTCCAGGTCTCTTCCATGCTGTCCTCCCTCCCTGAGATACCCCCTTTCCTCAGCTAACTCCTATTCATCCCTCCTGTTTTAGTCCAAGCATCATCTCCTTTGAAGACAGCATCCCACACCCTTGGTGTTGGAGGATGCACTTGCTGTGTGTGCCCAATAGTTACACAGGGTCCTCTGCATTGGCCCAGCCCACACCATGCTAATTCCTGTTGCCCCAGCCCCAACTATGAGCTCTCCCTTCCTGCTCTCACCTCAGGGTGGGGGAATTCTAAGGTATGGGACCAGTAAGGTCTTCGCAGACCATCCAGGAAGATGCCCTTCCAGCTAAATGCTGGGAGAAACTGAGACTTGTGTAACAACAGTAATAACCACCCTCAGGGCTTACTAGGTGCCAGGTACTGTGCTGTCTTTTACCGCTGCCATGCCCCCACGGTTGGGTTTTCTCTCTTACCAATCTCCCAGTAAAGAAGCTGCCTCAGAGACATCCAACGTGAAATTCTGACAATTTAAGAGCCTCTTTATTTCTATTATGAATGGTACATTACGTCTGCCTGTTTTAGTTTTTTTTTTTTTATGGTAATGTTGGCGTTTTCCTCATTTAAGTAAAAACATGTCTATACACACGTGTATACATGTACACATGCACACATTTAAAGGTCGTTGCCTGCCATGCTATAGCAAGTAACTTTTCTGGTTAGTATAACTTAATTTTACTGTCTCTGACACACAAGCTATTTAGACAGATGTTCACCATTTCCTTACTTTTAAGCCTGACATGATCCCCACTGCCTGTGTCTCCTTAATGAAAAAAGCCTGAATCTCTTAACTATTGTTCCCTGAAACACGTCGGGTATTAAATTTACCTGCACTCACTGAAACCTCAGCACGCCGGGAAGTAGGTGATAGACCCGGAGTAGATTTTCCAAGGCGGGGGAGGCCGGGGCTGGGGCGGCGCCGGGCAGTCCTCAGGCCCTCCGGCCCCGGAGTGCGCCAGCTCGCCCATCACGAGGGGCTTCTCGCCCCAGCCCGCGGGCGCCCGGGCCCGGGAAGGCAACGACCACCCGCTCGCACCACCAGAACCTTTCCGGCTGGGAGCCCGAAAGCTTTAGTCCGCCTCTGGGCTCTCCCGCCCCTCGCAGAGGTCTGAGGCCTGGGAACGAGCCCGAACCCAGGCGCTAGCCCGGCGCCTCACCTCCTGCAGCGACTCCGGCACCAGCGCGGGAACGATGGGCCGCTTCACGCCGCGCTGCTCCTTCTCCTTTTCCCCGCCTTTCTCCTTTCCGTTTTCCGCGTCCCCCTTCTCTGCTTGGGTCATCGTGGCCACGGGCGCCCACCGGCCCTTTGCCTCAGACCGACGCGGTGAACGCCAGAGCTGAGGAGCCCGTGAGTCCGCGCAGCCTCACAGACACTGCCCTTAACCAACATGGCTGCCAGGCCGTCGCCCCCAGAGAACTCTGGGAAAGCGGAAGGGCGAAATTGTACAGGACGGAGGCGGGGTGGTGTTTGGGTTTGGTGGATGTTGCAGTAATTGAGCCCTCTAGCAGGATGCCACAATATAGTATTTTTGTTGTTGTTTTCAGTGGACAGGTCGATAACTGGCATCTCATTTTCTCCTCACAGCTGTTAAATATTAAATGCAACCAGGACTGTAGGATGAGACCTGCAGCAGCAGTTCTGAGGGGTAGATCGTGGGTCAGAGGCAAAGAAGCCATCGCCTACAGAGACTTGATCCTGATCTCCTGTATTACAGCCTTAGCTAGAGGCTGGACAAAATGCCAGAATTAAAAGTATATAAAAAAGACACGGGTGCAGGGTGAGAACATCTGCACATAAGATAATGCCCAAAATTAAAATTAAAAAATTTTTTAAAAAGTATGTAAAGAGACTAAATATCTGACACAGACTTGATAATAATAAACTATCTTTATTATACTTTTTCTTAAACTCATTTTAATTGCTTTTCTTATTTTTGAATACAGGTGTCTTATGCCACTATATTCCCATTTCCTGGCAAATAGGGTAGAATAAATAATTATAAATAGATATCAAAATGGTTTTACCTGAATAGTTTGAAAGTCTTTAAAACACTGAAGTAGAATTTATCTGTATCATTCATTTTTCCAATATTTTAATACCTATTACATGTAGTCATTATTCAAAGCACTGTGGTAAAGAAGACAAAATCCTTAACTTCAGTTTCCATTCTCGTGAAAGAATTTGAGTAACCAGCATTCCGGTGGGGGTGAGAGCCAATAGGCAGTGTTCTTAAGCAAAGTTTAGAATTCAAATTCGTCCAGATAGCCTTGCTATCCATGATTTTAAAGACCATCTGGCAAATCTTCATTTTGTAGCTCAGGTCTGTCGGTTACAGTTTTATGAATACCCTGATAATTATATTTGATAGCAAATCAGACAAGTATTAAAGGTTCATGGGACAAATATTTCCTATGCAATTAACACAGATAATATATGCATACTACTAAAATAAGTACAATGTGATTTATTTATAAATGAGAAGAAATTAACAATGCACAGTATCTCAGAGGTTGAAAAAGGTAACACTAAAAATACTGAAGACAATCTTTTATATTTCTTCCAATTCAGTTTTTTTAATTATAAAGATGAGAAGTCACTTTTATAACCTAAAAATATTCACTTATTAAAACTATATTAATACTTTCATAACCAATACAAAAAAGATGAGACAAACATGTGCATTTATAGAACTGCATATCAGTCATGCCAGATCCCTGTGCAGGGAATTCCCAGCACAACCTCATTCATCTGTAAGGACACAGAGCAATTCTTGTTTAGACATACACATTCATCTACTTGTCCAGCCTGGTCAGCCTCCACTCTTTGATGGTTTCCTTCTGCTATGAATGTGCATGTCCAGTTGTCTGCTTCTTAGAGCAGACATTTACCTAAAAGAACATGTTATAATAATTAGTATCCACTTTAATTTGAATCTGTATGAAAAATTCAACCATCATTATGTTCTAAAAACTTTTTCCAAAAGACATCTTGACAATAAAGTTGATGAATTATTCAAAAGTTAATACATATTTTCCAAATAACGATGTCTAAGTAATTACAAAATGTTGGGCAATTTGTTTTCCTATAGAAATCCTTCCCATGGAAGCATTTTCAAAATAAAATCTCTGCAGAACAAATTAATATTTTAAGTTACCTTCCTCATCCACCAGCCATTGGAGGAGGACTAGGGCCACGAAGATGATTAATTCGACCCATTCTTCTGGGGGGATTTCCTGGTGGCCTAATAAAAAATAAAGTTAATTTCTACTGTTTAGTGGACATCACTTCAATTGATTTCTTTTAAACACTCAAAGAGACTCCTTAAACTCTTATAGTGACCCAATGCATAATGCACACAAGCAAAGTGAGTTTAACAAAGATTGTGATGAACTAAACTAAAAAGCACTTTTGTAAATACCTCACTGAAACTCAGGCCCCAATGACTATTGCCACATGGAAACATAAGCACAATCCAGTGCTGCTTGATCTTCTGAGTTTTTCATTAACAGCTGGAAGTCCAAAAGTGAAATCTCTATATTTAATGTTTGCCATCAGTTTATGCTGCTTCCTAATTCAGATTTTTCCAATAGAATATTGAGTGTATATTTTAGTTCTACAAGATGAACAGATCATCAAATCTGAGGGAACTTGACTTCTTTGCAGTAATGCATTAATTTTGAGAAATAGAATTTACACCCTTAATTTCCATGGGCTCTGTTTCTATCTCCCTATACAGACTATAATACCTAATTAAAATATAGAGAGGGGTGTTAAAAGATTTATTTTTAAAGCTATACCCTCTTCCATCATCATATCTGGAATCAGATGAGTTTCCGTAGCCTCTTCTCTTTTTCACATCTTGCTGAAGCAGAGTTTTGAAACTGAAATAAGATGTAGAAACACAGAAATGCTACCTTCAGTATTATAAAATGTATTTCCATGGTTTCAACTATTAGTTCTGTGAAAGGATGTCTAAACCGACTTTGAGCCAAGCCTACATAACTCAAAGCCAGCTGGACACCATCACCCAGTGCAAGTGTCTAAAGAGAATGTGCTATGTTCTATGTCACGGCCACCCTTCCTTGCCCGTAATTGCTCGTCATTCTCCTAGATAGTCTAGGGTGAAAGACTCTCTGAAAGAGTCACCCTAACTTTCTTCCTCCACTTTATATCAGATGTCAGTTTTTACAGTTCTAATATCTGTTTTTGTGGTACTATACACCCATGCCCAGCCTACCTTCAACCTCTTACCTTTGGGAAGAAAGACAGAGGATAGTATGCCAGATGCACAGAGCTTCTGGGAATCCATTTAAATGGAATCATTTCTTTGTGGAGGGGCAAGATTTATTAAGTTAAAAACAGTATTTTTAATAAACGTAATAGAGTAGGTAATATTTGTGAGAGATTTTCAAGAAATTTTGTCTTGGGTAACTTAGGGCCTCTTTTTCACTTGCTGAGTTTTTCTATGGAACTGTCTCTTCCATTTCACCCTTTCTAATTTATCTACATACAGACATTCAATTAATCTTTCTAAACCACAGCCACAATCAAATTATGTATAAAGATTACAGCCTACTACTATTCAAAGTTCTCTGCTATCTTTCCTGTGTTTCTTCTGCCTGGAATAACTTTCTCTGATGTCTACTTCCCAATTCCCCTTGTAATCATTGATATTAAAGTCAATGAAGAAACAGACCTAAGATAAGATTTCGTGGTAGGTGATAAATAATTTGCAAACAAACAGCATGTGAAAGACCAAAAAATGCATTTAGCTAAGAATTGCTTGAAATTATAGTGAAATTCAAATTTTGTTTCCTTTGTGTTGATTCTAATTATTCATTAAAAAAAAAAAAACTTTCCTAATTGGGAGATTTCTTGTTATGAGCTAATTCCCCTTGTTTACTTACTGTAAAATGTAAAAAGTTGCATATACACACTAAAGCTGGGAACAGTTGAGAAAAGGAAGTGTGGTCATTTGGCATTGCAGTGGGCAGGTCTGGCTCTATAGCTGTAAGCTGGAGGCTAAAACATGGTCAAGTTTACTAACTCAACTACTATATTTATAATCATAAGATGTTTGGTGGCAGCTTTACCACTGCATAACTCTTTTCCTTTCATAAAATAAGGTAGAATAAAAACTGCTTCAGGAGCTGAACTTGTTTGGGGTATCCAACAAAATGTAGCTGATATACTTCTGTCAACTGAATTACCAAGGCTATTTTAAAGGGCTACTATACTTACAATAAAACCACAAACTCAGCTATTCCCCAGAAGAAATCCGTTATCAAAGATAGTCTCCATGGGGATTGACTCCGACTGTCCAACACTTGTCCTACAGAAAAGAATACAGAAACTTTAGTTAGTGTACAAATCCCTGACACAATATGCATTGATTTTAATCAGTCAGGTAACGATCACAAACTCAGTATTCAACTTGTCTAGTGTTCCCAGAGATCAATACAAGGAGAGGTCTGTTAGGTGCAGACCATTCTGAGGAAAGGTTCAGGGAAGTTAAAGCTCCATGATTGGCCTCCCGGGGGGCGCAAGGGATTAAGACACAGCCTAAGAGGCTGTCCATGGCCACTGTAGAACAAGGTTGATCCCCAGCCAGCCAGGGAGTTACCCACATGGCGCAGCACCTCTCCTGACTGGCCTGCTGCTCTCCTCAGCAGTGTATTTCTGCCAATCTGCCTGTTCTGTTCCCCACTCTGTCTCTGGTGAATCCACTCATGCCCCCACACCTCTTGTCTGTACCCCAGTTCTTCTATTCATAAATAAATAAATCTTAAAAAAAAAAAAAATCTCCATGATCTAGGGAGAACTCCTTTAATACACCAAGTGCTTTCCTATAGTTTGTAATTTTAGTGGGTGACACTTCCACTATTTTTTCTTTTGGTAAAATATACACAAAAATTTACCATTTTAAAATATAGTTCTATGGCATTAAGTATATTCACATTGCTGTTATCAACATCCATATCCAGAACATTTTCATCTTCCCTAGCTGAAACTCTGTACCCATTAACATTAACAACCAACTTTTCCTTTCCTCCCCCCCTTAGCAACCATCCTACTTTCTGTCTCTTTGACTTGGACTGCTCTAGGAAATTCATATTTGGGATCACACAATGTTTTGCACTGTGGCAACTGGCTACTGTACACATTAGCTTAATGTCATCAGGGTTCGCTCATGCTGTGCATGTCAAAATTTTTTTTAGGCTGATTAATAGTCATTCCACTGCATGTATATACTACATTTTCTTAATCCATTCATCTGTTTATGGACACTTGGGTTGCTTCTATCTTTGGGCTACTATGAAAGTGCTGCTATGAACATGAATGTATAAATAACTGTTTAGTCAAGTATTCTGAGGAAACAAACGGGATGGATGAATATAAAAGAATGTTCATACCACTTCCATTTTCGCGTTCACAGAGTGCTTATTTTCACTTGCAAAATCTCTTGTCTATAAAAAGACTGTTTACATATACTCTTACAAGTCTTGAGAATGATTTACTATGATAAAATTGTTATAAGTCAGACTGATGCTATAACTACTGAAGAGAATGTGGTTTGTTCATTAAAATGACCACTGTTATGGGCCTCCCTGGTAGCGCAAGGGGTTAAGATGCAACCTATGAAGCAACCCGCAGCCTCTGCAGCACAAGTTCGATTCCCAGCCAGCCAGGGAGCTACCCACATGGCACAGCAGACCTCTCCTGTCTCGCTTGCTGCTCCCCTCAGCAGTGTATTTCAGTCAGTCTGCCTGTTCTGTTTCCTGCTCTGTCTCTGGTGAATCCTCTCACCCCACCCCCACCACTTGGCCTGTACCCCAGCTCTTGTATGCATAAATAAATAAATCTTTAAAAATAAATAAATAAAATGACCACTGTTATTCTGCAACAGGATGCTGTTGACTCTAATTATAGACTCCAGCTTTATTTCAGGCAAAAATCAATCACTTTTCAAAACCCTTTATCCATGAAAAGGTAGTACTCCAGGATTTCAGTCATACAAATCAGAATATTTGGGATGCAAAGAGCTATCTGTCAATTACCTCTCCAATGCTCACCATTTTCCTAAGAGCTTCACCAGGCTTACCTCTACCCCCTTAGCCAGGATTTTCCTTTCTTTGATGAGTTTATTTCTAGGTATCTACTTGGACCTGAGAGCTCTCACACAGCTACTGAGAACAAAGGGTAACACTTAAAGACAGACCATTGGTGCTAGGTTTGATTCTGCCTCTTACTAGCTCTGCTTCACTGGCTAATATATTTTTCCTTCTCAGAAAAAGTAGTCTAGGGCTAGTAGAATTATTGGGAAAAAAAATCATTTGACAGATAAAAGAGAAAATTCTGTCAACTATAAAGTGCTGATAAAATACAATCCTTTTAAGAAAATGGACTTAACTGAAACCCGTCAGTGTTTCCTTTCTGATTGTGAAGAACTTAACTGCAAGCACTTGCATCATTCTATCTTGCTTTTTGCATTAACCCTCCTAGTTTCTGCAAGCAAAAACCTTTGCAGTATTCGCAGGCTTGAATGCAACAGGCATTTCTCCACCATAAAAATGAGATAATATGCCCTAATACGACCTTCATGTTATGCAAATATGACATTGGATGCACAATAAGACACACTACAAACACAAGACGTCATTCAATAACACAATAGAAGTTGCCATGTTTAACCACAAAGAAAATAATACAGTCTGCAAGTGGCCAAAGCTAAGATGAAACAGTGAGGTTTTTTTTTTCCTGTTCATCGATTTCCTGTTTCAAAGATTTTTAAGTGAGAAACCAAGAGGATGACATTCATACATATATAAATATGCAAGTAAGTGAAATAAAAAACAACAACAACAGAGAAACCAAGAGGACAGTGTGAGATTTTGGAGAGCAAAGAAAGAAAAAGTGCACTCAGACAAAAGACTTCTCATTAGTCATCTCTGAAGACAAACAGATGATTCAAACAGAACCAGAACCTAGTTACAGTGATCCAAGAAACACCTGTTAAAGATTGCGCCAAGGCATTTATTTCACCTGAGTCAAACAGGCAGCCAGCCAGGTAGTTCCGGCGTTTATAATGTCGTTCTGACCCAGTTTATAGTGTCTTTCCAGTCATTTTCTTTGTGAAACCACTGAATTAAGTCTCTCTCACATTCTCTACTCCAGGTATAATTAACTTACTCCTAGAAGTGATGCTACTTGTCTAATTCTCTTCACACGCACGGGTGCCAATCTCAGTCTACCTCGATTCGAATCTGGTCTGAGCTATTAACAACCTTTGCGATCCTGAGCCAGCGACTGACTGTATCTGCGCCTCAAGGTCTCCACCCGTAAAAGAGGTTTGAGGAGATGAGCGAATACCGTAAAAAGTGCCTCAGGCAAAAGCGCCAAGCACAGGATGTTAACATCTTTACTAGTTAACAACACGGACGCCCTAGAGCCAAGACCACTTTCCCAAGACCCCCAATCTACGAGGGCGAGGGCGCCCGGTATTGTCTGCACCCCGGGGATCGACGCCAGAGCAGACTGAGGCCGATCAGCTGACGCACGGCAGCCACGGCGACTTGGCCTCCAGCTCCGCCCGTCCCCCAGGCGCAAAGTTCGGGAAAACAGCGACGGGTGCCTGGCCCAGTCGGCAAGGATGGCAGAAATGCTGACCTCGGCTTCCCAGGTCCGGGGTCGCTCCCGCAGCCCCGCCAACTCACCATTCGAGATGTAAACCATCTTGGCGGCTTTTCCCCGTCTCCGGAGAGACTAGGGGTCCTGGCCCTTCTGGGCTTCCGTATCTCCCTCCGCGCCCGGCCCTTTCACGTGACAAGCTACGACTAAACAAATCGGTGACGGAGGAGGGAGGTGGACACACCCCATTGGTTGCAAGTAGAGACACGCCCCCGACGGGCCTTTTGCCCCGTCACACGGGCGACTTCCGGGAAAGCGGCGAGTGCGGGGCACGTGAGCGGATGTGATGTTGGGGATTGCTCCGGTAAGCGCGACGCTTCCTGTCTCCTCTCGGAGTTGAACTCGGCTCCCAAGTTCCACCTTGCCCCGCCGGTGGAGAAGTTGCTTTCTGGTTGTTTGATAGACCCGGGGTCGGGGAGGCAAGAGCGCCCCCTGTGCACCTCGAAGAACTGGAGGAGTTGCCCAGAGTTTTCCACTGGTGTCGCTGTTTGAGGGTGTGGAAGGCAGTGCCGTCGCGGCCGGGAGGGGTCCAGACCTTCAGGAGCTCTGTTGTTGTTACCTGCCCCGCGTGCGGTCCTTCTCTTTTAAACTGGGCTTCTGCTCTTGGATCCCAGACGCGTTGGAGTTTCTTATTAACTCTTCTGAAGCAACTGTGACAGACTAGCGCGATAGAAGTTGCCTTTTTTTTTTTTTTTAATCGATGGCTATTTGTTTTTTTATGGATAGCTACTGCTTGCCGGCAATGTGGAGGTGGCAGATGTATGGGAAGATACCGCTTGGTCATTCATGAAATGTGAACGACATGCTATGTGCTAATGTGTTTTTGTTTATTTTATTCCACTCGCTGGGCAACTTTTTTTTAATGAAGGTAATACTGGTTTACGGTTTATGATTTATTGATGAAGTGTCACATCCCTTTAGATGTATGGGTTACTTTTTGTTCTTGAATATGGCAATTTCGTTCGTGTCCCAAGGCCTTTGCACTTTACTATTTCTGCTCTATTTTTTTAAAATTTATTTTATTTATATAAGAGCTGGGGTACAGGTCAGAAGTGTGGGGGGCTCACCAGAGACACAGCGGGGAGCAGAACAAGCAGATGGGCTGAAAACGCTTCTGAGGGGAGCAGCTGGCGAGACAGGAGAGGTCTGCTGCGCCCTGTGGATATCTCCCTGGCTGGCTGGCTGGGAATCGAACCCGCGCTGCAGAAGCTGCGGACAGCTTCACAGCACTGCCCACAACCCTCTGCGAAATCGGGGAGGCCCTGCTCTTTTTCTAATGGCTGCTTGCTTTTCCTTGCAGTTCTCAAGTCGTATTGACTCCTCAAAGAGGTTCTTAATCACCTTATCTAGAAGGCAACTAAAGATTACTTTTGGAAGTTTATTTTGAATTTAACAAAGTTGGCTAAGTTTGTAAATATGTTCTAGTATCTAGAATAAACAAAGATTAATTTCGTGTTGATTGTTTTGGGCACGTTGTACCTAAGCAGTGCATTATAGGATAAGACATCCTTTGCAGCATTTGAAGTTTTTGCCAAAAAATGTTATCAGGAGATCATTAATTTTCCCAAGGTCCTTTCTTAACCTAGACCTTGTCCGCCTCATCTTTGCTCTGCTCTGTTTTAGTTACTTCTAGCTGAAATCCCAGCTTCCACCTTTATTAGTTTTTTCACCTTGAGCACTTTCTGCACTGTAGCAAGTGATCTTATTTCCTTATGTGCAGCCTTTTAAACACTACAATGTAGTGATTTCCTGTTGCATTTAAGGTAAAATTTCTGGTCATGACCTACAGGCCCATCATGACTTGTATGCTTAATTGCCCTTTTAACTATATCTTCTTCCACATTCCTCATTCAAATTATATCTAGCAACATTGTTTTAGTTTCTTGTACACCAAGTTCTTTCATGCCTTCAAAACTCTGCATGTGCTCTCTGCTCTACCCGGGAACATTTCCCGATGACATTCACATTCAACTCCTTTTCTATAGATCTCAGCATCAGAAATCTTAGGAGTGTCCTTAATTTTGATTATGTATCATAATGATTATTTTCTTCAGAATACTTATAGCAATGTAAAATTATTTGATCATTGATTTTTGTCTCCTCAAGAAAATAAAAGATCTAAGAGGTCAGGAGCTCTGCCTTGCTTCCTTTTATCTCTTTGAGATCTGTCATAGGCTGACAAATCTAGGTACTCAGATATTCGTTAGTAGAGAAATACCTTTCTAGAAGCTTGCTAAGTAGGAAGGGAACTAACATTAAGATTGCCTGAATATCAGGTAGTGCTAGGTTCTCTTCTTTCTGTTTCTCTACATAGATAATTTCTTCCTGAGAGTTATTGTAGTTTTCCTAGTGAATTAAACCTGGTCTTTCGCACTGTATTTCATGCTAAATTCAGCTGCTAGTTTATCTAATCTTGACTTTTTTTTCCTGCTCACAAACTCTGGTTTCTCTCCCTATCTGACAAATAGTGTCCAGCTCTCAGGCACTAAGGGCTTCCCTTATGCATCTTGTTAGGTTTTTCTCTCTGATTTCTAATTCCCTAATACAGCTCTTGTTTTCCTTCTCTGTTGCTTCTCATTTGCTCTTGATAGGGATTTTCTCCACTTGCTAAAGTCTAATCTCTCCTTTTAGGTGGGGCATGTTCTTATGAAATGAAATGACAAATGTAAAATGATTTTTCAAAATGATTGATTAGTAGCAAGATGGGGTAAGAGGTAAAGATAACATTTCTTCTCCTGACATGAATGTAAAAGACCGCATATTATTGAATTTAAATATTCCATTTTTCTATTTTTACTTTTTAAAAAAATTAGGGTATGATTGACATACCAGTTTCAGGTATACAACATAATGATTTCATATTTGTATATATTGCAAAGTAATTACCACAATAAGTCTACTTAATATATCTCTCCACACAGTTACAAAAAAATTTTTTACCTATACTGAGAACTTTTAAGGTACATTGTCTTAGCAATTTTCAAATATGACATACAATATTACTGACTATAGTCACTGAGTTATACATTACATCTCATGACTATTTCATAACTGGGAGTTTGTACCTTTGATCTTAACCTTTTTCTCCCATCCTCTGGCCAACTACCAAATTACTCTCTGTACCTATGAGCTTGTTTGTTTAGATTCCACATATAAGTGAATTTATAAGATATTAATCTTTCCTTAGCTTGTTTCACTTAGCATAATGCCCTCAAGAGTCCATCCATGTGTTGCAGATGGCAAGATTTCATTTTTACGGTTGAATAGTATTCTGTGTGTGCATGTGTTTGACAGTTTCTTCATTAATCCATCAGTGGACACTGATGTTGTGTCTTTTCCAGTTAATGTTTTTGTTTTCTTCAGCTGAATATCTAGAAGAGGAATTACTGGATCATATAGTAGTTCTATTTTCAATTTTTTGAGGAGCATCCATACTGTTTTCCATAGTAGCTGCACTGATTTATATTCCCAACAGCACACTCTTTTTACTTTTTTAATGTAACTGCTAGAAATTTAAAATTAAATACATTTATGTTTACATTACAGTTCTATTTGACACTGCTATTCTAGAAGACAGCCTGACAGAGAAAAGGCATTTAGTAAATACTTGTTGAGTGAATGAAGCAATGAATGCTGTTAATTATGGGTAACATTTACACAGGGTTTTCTGTGTCTGGTACTGTTCTAAGCACTTTTCGTTTATTAGTTCATTTAATATATTAAAAATACAAAGATCACAAATAAAATGGCATCCTTCATGCCAGCCCCCTCGCCCCCCAATTAATACCTAATCTCCTAGCAGTTTAAATCTCTCCCAAAAGTGAAACCCTAAACCAATCTGGAGTTTCCTAATCAGCACCAGTGAGGTAATCTGAATGAAAAAACACTCCTCCCCTTCCTCTGCAGGAAAGTAGCTCTGCCTGAAATAATCCTATCTTTTGCTAACAATCTTTGTTCACACTCTTTCTGACTACAAATGCCCTCCATTTTGTGTAACCCAGTGCTGTATCAATATGAGGTGCTGATGATTTATCAATTGCTTAATAAAGCCAATAAGAGCTCTAACTTTTGTGAATTTTGTTTTTTTAGCAATCTTTACAAAACAGCAACAATAATAACTAACATAAAGCACTTTCCTTGTGCCAGACAGTGTGCTGGTTACCATTCATGGTTCATTTAACCCTCAACCTTATTAAGAGGGTTGTTACTGTCATTCCTACTTTATATATGAAGAAACAGTCATAAAAAATTCAAGTGACTTGTCCATGGTCATATAGCTAATAAGCTAAGGATGAAGAGTTTGTGCTCTTCTGTGCTGTGTATTGGCTCTCCACAATAAGAGGTATTGAAATAAGATAATCCAGTGTGATGTTCATAGTATAGAATGGTAGGTGGTTTCTAGAAACTGAATGTATATCAATTTTCTCAAAGTTGCAAAATAGCATCCAACAGTTTTCTAGTTTTTCTTTTCTTTCCCTAAGCATAAAAATTTCCTAGGCATTTTGAGGTCAATTATCTTCCCTTCTCTGCATCAATCAGATAGGCTTTGCTCCAGAGTAGGTCCCTTCCAGTGTCACTTTGATATTAGATCTAAAGTTCAATTGAGGCCCAGTGAGCCTAGTGAAGTCTATTATTATTACTTAAAGAAAGCATATTAGACACTTTTGTCCTTTGCAGTCTCTTTGCCCTTCCCTAATCAAAGAAGCAATCACTGTTCAAAGTACAGAAGGATATACTTTGGGGGATGTCATCCAGATGTAGGTTTGTCTGTATCATGTCCTCTCTGAGAATGTCATCTTTAAAGATGAGTTCAGTTCTTTTTTTGTCTGTCATGTGAGGTCTTCCCTACCTTCTCGGTGCTCCCCGCAATGCCCCAGGTCCTTGAACACCAGATAAATATCCCTGATTCTATTTTTCTTTAAAATTTAAACTATGTAAACTAAATTTCATACATTATTAAATTGATTCTTTTTTCTTTGCTAACCGGTGTTGCGCTGTGGTTGATTACTTGTCCAGTCCCAGAAGAACCCCAGACGGGTATGGCATTTTCCCCTGCACCCCAACAACAGCTAGAGTCAGTCCCATTTGAGGCACATGACTCGGAAAGTGGAGAAGAGTAATGTTTACCACAAGACAGTCAGGGACTACTGGGTTATATAATAAATAAATAAATAAATAAATAAATAAATAAATAAATAAATAAAGATGCCTTTAGGGGACATGGAAAACAGATGACATTTATATCCTTTATTAACCTTTTATGTGTTTGTTCTTACAGATAATTGCTGTTGTATTTTTTTCCTTTGGGCTCAGGAATCTTAGCTCTTAAATTGTCCCATTTTTTTTTTACCTTATACTTTTTGTTGTTGTTTTTCTTTATATATATATATATATTTATTTATATTGTTTTTCACAGTAGTCTTTAAAAAAATTATTTCTTCTAAGTTAGGTAGCCTTATACTGAACATGCTGTGCAAATCAGGGGCGTCCCTTTTTTGTGTTGTGTGTTGTGTGTGCCAATAAGCACTTTAGCTGAACTGATATTTATATTGTTTTACAAGTCATTTTCTTAAAGTATTTGAAATCATTTTCGGCATCAAAATGGGAAAATGTGCATAGGAATTTGCAGTGTTATCTTCCTTGGAGAATATGGTTGATTAAAAAGTTTGGATTTTCACCTGTAATCTCTGTAATATATCACAAAGTAAATTATATTATCGTTTCATTAGTGAGCCTGTCTGGTTAAATTTACACAGCTTATCTTTAAATAACTAAAAAATATCTAGATTCAACTTTGCGGTTCCATTACAGGAAGATAAATATTCCAAAAATAATTTGTAACCTTTCAAAGTCATGATCCAGTTTAACAACCTAGTTAATTATAAGGGGAACTCTAATAGTGGTAAGTGGAAGGAAATATAAAAAAAGCTGCCAGAGGTTTGGGTGTCAGTTTCCTTCTTCTTTTTTCACATATTAAAATGACAGGTTTGTTAGGAAAAGGAGAAAGAAAAAAAGAGATGCACCTGCATAGTCACAGGCGGGTGGTCTTGGGAGGAAAATGCCTTTTTCCTTCTATCTTAAAAGCACATTTTCTAATTAAAGGAAATTTTAAAATATTTTCATAGTTGTATTCTACAGCACAGAAAAAGTATTTCTAAAGTCATATATCTGAAAAGGGAGTAGAGAAATCTAGCAAGTATATCTTCTCTTACTATTGTTAAAAAAAAAAAAAAAAAAGAATTCCTCTGAATAAATTGAGAGATCTAATTGATCTTGTTAAACTACTCAGGAACCAGGCAACTACCTATCTTCAAGTAAAAAGGTGTTGAAAGGGCTTGTACAAAATGGAGGGATTTTATAGTTAAAAAAAGAGGTTAGGACAAGGTTGTCAAAGAAGAGGAAGATTTTTTTCAGGCAAAGTTACATTCCCTCGGAAAGATGGGGGAAGGATGGTGTTATCATGCAGATTACCTCAGTAGTGTTAACCAAGATACTCAGGAATGATGGGTTTAGAGTTCCACTTTTGGTGCAGCAGGTTCTACCATTACGGTTTGCTTGTAAGTATTGGTGGGACCTGTAGGACACCATTTTGGGCCTGTTCCTTAATACTGTTTAGATAAGTCTCAAGATAACATTGATTTTTTTTTTTTTACCTTTAATCTTTGCCCAAATAAACAGATGAATAAAACTTCAGTTTGATTCTTTTGGTTCTTTTAACAGTAGGTTCAAGGAAAAAAGGTTTATCTTATAGTCTCTTGGTGGGGTGGGGGGTGGTGGGGTCGGTCATATGACCTAGTAATGACTGTTCCCTGGAAAGTTTCTTAACTGGGATTGAAAGGATATGGTTAGAGAGGTTGCTATAGTCTCAGCTAGTTGACCAGGCTGTTGATTGTGAACATATTATAAATTTTGGGGGCCTCCTAAGTGCCTTCCCCCTTCCATCTGTAACAGGGTGGTCCTCAGGCAAGGGGGAGGTTCCAGGTTTCCTGCCCCACCCAAAAGGTAAGGTGTCTACAAGACTGTTAGCTGAGCAGAGAGAGAAGAAGATGTAGAGGAGACTGAGGAAGGAAGGAAGCAGGATGGAGAGCCAGAAGGAGACCTGGAGGAGGCACATGGAACCAAGAGAAGAAACACGTGAAGAAACTGCACTTGCCTTTTGGTCCTGGACTGATTGATACAGATGTGGGTGAGAGACCCGTGGGGAGGTGACAATGGCAGTTTTTGTCTTGATTTTGATTTTGCTCTTTTCCTCCCAGATTTGTCTGGTGGTTTTGTTAGGGGAAAAGGATGTCCTAAAGCTAATTCCATACAGGCTTTGTGGACTCCGTCCCTACTCCAGACCAAAGCCAAAAGACACTGGGAACTCCAAATCCCATCACCACCAAAGGGAAGGTGGCTGGAACCTGAGGGTGGGGCTAAGCAGCCAGGTTTGGTATAAAACCAGACATGTGGGCTTTGGGCGATTCCCTGTTTTGGCTCTCCGCCAGCTTGTAGCGTGGCCAGCTCTGAGAGTGCCTTTGGGTTTCCGGGTGGGCAGATCGGGTACAACACATTAAAGACTTTATTTCCCTAATTTTGTAACAGGGTGGTCCCAGGAAAGGGGGAGGTTCCCTGCCCCACCCAAGGGAGGGTGGAGCTGAGCAGGAGGAGGAGAAGGAGAAGAAGAGACTGAGGAAGGAAGGAAGCAAGATGGAGCCAGGAGACCTGGAGGAGGCGCATGGAGCCTAGAGACATGTGAAGAAACTGCGCTTGTCTTTTGGTCATGGACTGGGTGACACAGATGTGGGTGAGACCCGTGGGGAGGTGACAATGGCAGCTTTTATCTGGATGTTGATTTTGCTCTTTTCCTTCCGGGCTTGTCCGGTTGTTTGTGACCCTTTTCTGTGGGTCCCCACTGGAAGATGTTTTAGACTTGTGGCAGGCTTTGGGGCCTTGCTCTGGGCCGACCCCATATGGATGGAGTTTTACCCACGAGGGGATGGGTAACTTTGGGTGCTTCATTTAGAAACTAGACTCTTTGCCTCACCTGTATTGTTTCCTAGTTTTATTAAAGATCCTTCCCATTAGTCTCATGTGTTTTGTGTTGATGCGGCGGATGGCAGAACCCATGTAGAATAGGCAGGTTTGCAGGGTTTGGGCTGACCCTCTCCCTGTCCTATAACAATTTCTCCCTGAGTTGTACATTTTCTCAATTCCTTTTCCCTTGTAAATAAACCTTTTATTAACCTTTTGTGTGTGCCTGTAGAGTATTAATAAGTCCCTTTTAAAGTGCGCGGGTGAGGACCCACAGCCAGGCAACCCGTTTTATATCGGGGCTGCTCCGTAACAGTTTCTGATCCTTTTGTGTGTGTCCCCACTGGAAGATGCTTTAGACTTGTGGCAGGCTTTGGGGCCTTTCTCTGGGCCAATCCCGTTTGGGTGGACTTTTGCCCACGAGGGGACGAGTAACTTTGGGTGCTTGATTTAAAAAACTATATTATTTGCCTTTCCTGTATTGTTTACTAATTTTATTAAAGTTCCTTTTCATTAAAGTCTCATATGTTTTGTGTTGATGTGGTGGATGGCAGAACCTATTTAGAGCAGGCAGGTTTGCAGGGTCTGGGGTGCCCCTCTCCCTGCCAGGTAACACATCTAGCAGGTAATAGAGCAAAACCTTCTTCACAGACTTAAGTCTATAGCCCCTATAGCCAATACAGGAATCTTCTGCCTGAAGGTAAAGCTAATCTTTTCACACCCACTGATGACAAGAGTCAGATAAAAATGATTTAACAATAGGTAGCCAGTCTTACCTGTCTGCTGTGCATTCTTTAGGAGGGAAGAGATTAAATACTGAATTGCCTTCCCCAGCATCAGCCTATCTTGATCAGACGATTTAGAACTGGAAGTCTGACCTGTCAATGACTTACTGTTCTTACCTATATAAACTAAATTCAAATTTGTGATTGAGCACCTCTCACAAAGTAAAATCTGTTTACTTGGTTCAGATCCTCAATTTGATTATCTAAAATGTTTTGTCAAATTATCATTGAGACTTTATTTCTGATTAGCATGATGATGCCTCATCACTTTATTTCTTCTTACTAATATTATGTAATACAAGCAGCTTGGTTAATATTGCCCAAAGTCAAATAAGCTTCTCAACTTCAGAAAATCATCTTTCACAGATATTAGTAATTCATCTCTTTTGCTATGAATCTCTTATTTTTGATGGGAAATATGAGACAGAGACTCTGAAAATGGAATCTGGCAACTGAAGAAGTGTTGCTTGATTTTATTTTCTCATTTCATTTTGAATGTATTTAGCTACTCCTTAGTGGTACCCAGTCTTTCACGTTCATACTGAGACATTTCACAAGTAAGTGGAGACCATATGTGCAGAAAAGTGGAAAAGCAAGTGTTAATGAATATAGTCACCTTGGTTTGCTGACCTGTTTGGTCTCTTAAGTTCCTGTACCTAGTCAGCTGATTGCCACTGGAGGAGAGCAGGTATCGGGGCTACAGGGGTAGATGTCTACAAGACTGTTAGCTGTGGCTCAGGCTCACTGCTATAATAGTCATGGCAGCATAAATAATTTATACTGGGATTTAATAGACTGGGCACTAGGAACCCATCCTGGATGGAGAAGCTACCCAGAATGGGAGGCACTGTTTTTAGAAATGTAAAATTCCAAAGAAACCCAACTAAGTTAAATTTTCCATCATAAGCCTTGAAAATACACATTTTTAACCCAGCGCTTCCATTTCTAGATTTTATTTTAAAAGAACAATGAATGATATGCAAACATTTACATGCAAGGTTATTTATTCCAGTGTTATTTAGAATGAAAAATTGGAAACCGTATAACAATGGAGAGTTGGCTATATTTTTAATATAATAGCATACTATATACAAAAAAAAATACGGAAATATATTAAAATGGGGTGATGGGAGCTATAGTGTTTTTTTCTGTTCCCAAATTTCCTACAGTAAACGTGTGTTCCTCTTATATTTAGAAATAGGTATCAATTTTTTTTTTCACATTTACGTATATTAGAACTGAGATACCTATAGTTTCATTTTTAAGGTTTAGGCAATTTTTAAAAATTTTCTTTTTCCAGAAGAAATGACAGGAAATTAATAACAAAATTACTTAGGTAGTTGTTCACTTTTGGAGTACATTTTGAAGGCCATCTTATTTATTAAGGTTGTGCTTGCTTTACCTGATTGCTGTAGTGCACGTAAGTGTACACATGGGTATACCACTTAAGTGAGTTACTCAGCATTTTTTTGTTTTCCCTAAGTATATATAGAATCTAGCAAAAATAAAGTAGATATACTTTCAAATTCCTTGCTAGTTTGCTTAAAATTATTCTGACTGCTGGTCAAAATGAAAACTTATGTGTTCAAATTCTATGAATGATCAGTTGGCAGTGTTACTGAATTAAAACTTTCATTTTAAATGTGTGCCTTTTCAGAGACCCCTATTTTACTGCTAAAAATAAAGGTTCAAATAGGGCTATGGACCTTTATAGACACTAATCCTTCTTTGGGTAACTGACTGACTTTTGATAGACAGTAGAAGCATCTTACCAATATTTTGACCATTCTGAAAACAATGGTCTGTGAATCAAAAAAATGTATGAAATTTGACATGATGACAAAAAACTCAAAACACATATATTTACGAACAAATAAAAGCAAACCCAAATAATTGCTGTATGAGTATTTGGTGTTATCCTTTAATAGAATTTTGAGACTATAAAAAATACAATGTGGCAACTGAGTCTTATTTTCAGGGGAAGGAATTAAGATTCCCATTCAATGATTTTTTGCTTCCCAGCTGGAAGGCACGCTCTGGAAATAGCATGCAGGAAATCAATGTTGAAAATAAGTAATTTCCTTAAGTATGTATGCAGCAAAATGTAAGAAGGGCACTACTGTGTAAAACAGAGGAAGAGCTGTGGAAATCCTGGTTTATGTCTAGACTGTACAAGGGCCAAGGAAATTTGGGGAGATCTGTCCACATAGTGCTCGCTAGGCATGCTCTGGAATATCACTACGGGCAATTTGTTTTGTTGTGCTCTCGCATCCAAATAAGCTGTGTTTCAACTTTCGAATAAAGAAATTATTTTTGAAATCTAAGGCTAACAAAGGAAGTGGTTTCTTTTGATCCTCTGTTGTGAGCCTCTATAAGAGCTTTCCTGGTTTTATGATCCAGGGGGAAATGACACTTAGATACTTAAGGGTATTCTTTTTTCTATCTTTTTAATTGAGCTATAGATTTCAGGAAAGTACTTCAAAAAAGGACTGGGCACTTTACTTTTTGTTCTATCTCTTAAATCTTGGTTAAAATATCCAATCATTAAGCTATGAACTCAGCTTCATTTGACAAAGCCTTATTAATTTTTTCCTGTGTACAAGTCATCATGCTAGACAATGGCCCAGTAATCAAAACTAATATTATTTAGCACTTACTATGTGCCAGGTACTATTTTAAGCATTTTCCATATATATAAATATTGTACAAGCAATATTTAATATTGAACAAGCAATATTGAACAAGCAAGACTTCTGGGTTGTGATTAATAATTTTATTTTTGTCCTCCACCACTCCTTTTTTCCTTGTGTTTTTCTATTCCCAAATTTTCTACAATGAACATGTGTTCCTATAATGCTTAAAAAGAAATATAAAAAATTTAAGTTACATATATCAAGTTAAATATATTAGCACTGAGAGATCATCGTTAGTTGCCCTGTGCTCCTAAATGAAAACTTGGGCAAGTCCCACAACTTCTCTGGTATCTCATAAAACTCATATAATCCATTTTTTCTCTCTACCTTTAACAGTGTCTTAGATGTTACTAATAATTATCTTTTAAACATCCGTCCTAACTGTCTTCAAAGAAATCCTCTTGATTCTTCTCTCTCTGCTCTTGAACCCTTTGTTGCTCCATGTGGAAAGGATTTAAGAGTTAAAAAACTGGTTTTAGGGTGGCTACTTTGCAAAGATGCGTCTTGCTCTGGTTCTTCAAAATGTTGCATCTAATTTTTCCAGGTGCCTCAGTCAAAACTTCCATTTTCACATCCTAATGCACTTGTATTACTCCATTGAACCCTTACAGTGACCCTATAAGGTTGGTATGGTTGTCATCTCCACTTTATAGATGAGGAAATCAAGGCTACCAGAACTAACATCTGGAAGAACTGGGATTGAAACCCAGGCAGTCTGACTACAGAATACCTGCCTTTAAGTAATTTTCATTCCCCACAAAAAGGAGGGGGACTGAAAAAAGCACAAATGACTAATGTAAGACTGAACAAGTTCTTACCATTGGAGAGTCACACTGGAAGTGTTGGGGGGATGTGGAGGAGGGAGTGTGTACTCTGCCTGGAGAGGATCAGAGAAGGATTCCTGAGAAGTGATGGTTGAAGTATATCTTGTCAAGTGAAGTGTATTCTGACAGGAGCAGTAGGAGCTGTAGGAGCTAGAAATAAAAGATGCATGTTGAGATTGTATCTGTCTTTCAGAAATCCTTTCCCTTCAGTCTGATCTCCAAGTGATCATGTATCTTAAACCTAATGAAAATTTTGATGGAATTAACTTGTATTGACTTTTTTTTTTTAGCTTTGTGAGAGACAGTTATTTCATCATTGACATAGATTTGTTGTCTACCTGTTAAAATTCTAGCTGGTAGACTGTCACCTTAGAAATGTTCTAATTGACATCAAGTCTTGGGTAGGATCTTTTCATTTTTCTTCTGAACGCTTTGTAGTGAGTGAAATGTTACCTCTGAAATAATTTTTGTTCTTCAGAACAAAATGTATGACTGCATGTATATATCAATTAAACTCAAACTTTTTGATTATTGTTCAGTGTCATCAGTTGTTAACTACCCTTTGAAACATAATAAGGCAGGAGTGACTCACTTGGGTGCCAGTAAGTGCCAGGAACATGGACACTGTGACAAATAGTGTCTTTTCTCTCTAAAGGGGATCCAAACTTTTTGTTTACTGTCAGTTGTCACCCTATGGGATGTGAGCAGGGGTGGCAGTGTAGCGAGAGCGTCTGATTATTTCAAAATACTATTGAAATCTGACTGATTATCTGAAATTTCCTTGTTTTAAAATATTTAAATATTGGTAACTAATTCATACTTTAAAAAAAAATCTGGTACTGGACAAAGAAAATATGCCTACGGGCAAAATACAGCCCAAGGACTGCTTATTTGCAAACTTTCCTTTAAGATATTTAAGATATTTAAGAAATTACTAATATTCCTTACAGGCCTAGGCTGGAAGAAAGTAACAATTAAAAAAAAAAAAAAAAAGAAAACTGTCCAAGTCTTTTATTATGGAAAAATTTTAAAGATTGTAAAATAGAATAATGTGATCCCCTTTGTACCCATTATCCAGTTTATCTTTTTTTATTTTTTTTTATTTATTTATTTTTTAAAGATTTATTTATTTATTTATACAAGCACTGGGTACAGTCAGAAGCGTGGGAGGGTGAGA